CTGAATGTTATTGGCCTAAACTCATCAATTAAAAGACATAGAGGGACAGATTGGATTAAAAAAATATCCAACAATATACTGCCTTCAAGAGACTCATCTCATAGGAAAAGATATCCACAGACTGAAAGTGAAAGGATGGGAAAGAACATATCACTCACATGGGCCACATAAACAAGCAGGGTTTCCATCCTCATATCAGATAAAGTAGAATTCAAGCCAGAGTTAGTCAGAAGAGATAAAGAAGGACATTTCATACTGCTTAAGGGAAAAGAAACATACAAGACATAACAATCATAAATACCTATGCCCCAAACAATGGAGCATCTAAGTATATCAAACAAACCCTTCTTAATTTCAAGAAAATTAGAAACTGTTTAGAAAGGGAAAAGCCATTCATAATCTTATAGATGAGCTATTAATATTGGGATTTTTCTTATTTTTTCTAAGCATCCTTTTTTTTTTTTGGAGATCTTCCTGTATAGTTTATCTTTTGATTAAATGTAACATATTTCCCATTGCTGATACGAATGTTTTGCAAATAGGTTGGCTCCATATTTTATTATATATTTACCGTAAATAACAATTCTTATTTCCCACTAATTGGTAAATATTTAATGGTTAGGGCTCTATGAACACTTTAGGATATATGTAAGTCAGTTTACCATCCCTCTCTTTTTTTTAAAGAACCCAGGAGTGTTTTTCGCACAGGATGGATTAGCACAAGCTCTATCTGGAAGAAGCCTGGGCTGGTAGAGGCAGTGGAGAGCGCCTGTGCAATGAGAGATTCATTTCTTGGAAGCATCCCTGGCAAAAATGCTGCCGAGTATGAGGTTATCATTGTGATAGAGCCAGGCCTGCTTTTTGAAATAATAGAGGTATGCAACAGTTTGAAATGTTCTTAATATTGTACATCTTCACCTGCAGTTTGTTTTAAAAGTCTAAGCAAAGTTTTTTGCTAATTTAGATATTATGATTTTAGTCTTCTAATCCTGATCTTATCACTGATTCTGTTTTCTGCATCTGTGTCCTTTCCTTTATCATCTAAAATTATATACTCTGCACCTGTAACATGTGCATATCACTTTACAGGGACAGGGAAGGTCTTTTAAAGTTATTTGAAATGAAAACCCTAAGGGCTGATATATAAATCTGTGACCGTAGTGTTAGAATACATACAAAATTGGGAATTTTGTTATAAGGGCCTGTTTTTTTGAGTTTTGTCCATCTGGACTAGATTCAAAACAAATCCAAACATGAGTTTCCAATGAACATCTGGAACATTTGTTCCAGCACATTATCATGTATGTCTCAAAGTATTAATTCTATTTTTATTTCCAGAAGGGCCTTGGGATTTGTAGGAGTTGATTGTCCTGATTAGCGATATATTAAGTCTAACACATTGACTTGAGATTTTTCTCTAGTCTAAATGCTTGAAAATTGGTAATGAATATATATAAGATTTTATTGGTAGTAGTTTTCTAAAAAAAAGAAGAAAATCTCTTTGGTTGGTAAGCTTAATTTAAAAATATAAATGTAATTCAAGTGATTAAGAATTCAGCCTTAAAATAGCTAGTAGGATATGAAATTGTTGGTAACAAAGAATAAGGATAAGATGTTCATGTGTTTAAAAGTTCGTAAGTTCTGACTGCTTCATTGTACACAAAAGGAAATTAAGAATCTAGTCAAGTTTGCACAGCCTAGCTCTGGGCTTTTTCCCCCTGTATACTGTCTCCTTTGACTTCAGTTCTTGCAATAAGTTGAAAAGAATAAAATTTGTTTGGGATCATTTATACTTGGAAAAAAAATGCTTTGGGATTTTCAAAAACATAAATTGTTTTAGGAATCACACCAAGTAGCTATCAAATGGCATGCTGTTTTTTTTCAGTTACTAATTTCATGAACTTGTTAAAACCAAATTTTGAGTTTCCTGTTTTCTTATGAACATTTTTAAAGGAATATTTATATTAGCTCACAAATTCATTTTGAAGATCAAAGTTACAGTGAAAAATGTAAAAATGTTGATTAGACAGCCAGATTCAGTGTACTTCTATGTGTTATCCAGATTGCCATCATTAGTCTATATTGCTAAAAGCACTTTTGTGTAGATACTAACTGAACCCCTCTTCCAGTATAAGAAACAGGATACAGGCAAAACATCATGGTCTTTAAGGCTTACAAGACCTGGGCTTGAGCTATACCACATAATGATTGAGAAACTTGGGCAAATTAACCTCCTTTGCCCATTTCCTCATTTATGAAATGGGGCTAGTAAACACCATATAGGTTTATACACACACACACACACACATATACAAATATATAGCTGTTAGTGAACCTTTATTTATTTATATGCAGTGCTAAGAATCGAACCCAGTGCCTCACACATGCTAGGCAGTTACTCTACCACTGAGCCACAATCCCAGCCCCACCACATATGTTTGGTTTTTTTGTTGTTGTTGTTGTTCTGTGTATGAGACACTGAGATTCTTGGAAAATGAAGCAAAAGCACAATGTTCTCAATATTGTTGATAAAAATTTCAATTAAATCCTTTCATGCCAGTAAGAAGTGATGTATTTAATAGTATTAGCTCAGGGTGTAATGGTATCAAGGTATGCCTCTCTGTCCCCAAGAACTTATGGCATCTGTTTTTATAACCTCAGTTCATGCTAAAAATTTAGCAGTAACTTTCACATGCTTACTTCCAGATGCTGCAAGCTGAGGAGACCTCCAGTACCTCTCAGTTGAATGAGCTAATGATGGCTTCCCAGTCAACTTTACTGGCTCAGGAACCACGAGAGAGAACTGCAGATGTAATTGAGCTTAAAGGGACATTCCTAATCAATTTAGAAGGTAAGGAGGTGAGAGTAGCAAGTGGCATTTTGAGAAATGACTAATTATAAATTATGTGGCATCTTCAGAAATGACTAATTATAAATTATAGGTCATCTTCAACTCTACAGTGGACTAGACTTTTCTAAAAGCAGATATATGCCTGGAATACATCTCTCTGGAAATGATATAAACATTTGCCACATACCTAAGCCAACACTCAAATATTCTACCTGATCTTGAGAATTGAAGGCTAGGGATAGAGGACAAGAGATTTACTTCTCTTTTAACTTTTATTGTGCAGTTACTCTAACTTGCTTCCATTTCCCTTTTATGTCCCTGCCCTTTAATACATAGTACCATACTACTGCTCACCCTTCCCCAGTGTTGATTCAAATTTCCTCTTCTGTGTGCCCCAAATTAATATTTAGCCATTCTTAAGATGGGGTTTTGCTAAATTGCCCAGACTGGCCTTCAACTTGTAATCCTCCTGCCTCAGCCTTCTGAGTAGCTGGAATTATAGGCCTGTGCCATTGCTGTTTAGCCATTTTTTTGTGTGTGTGGTGCTGGGCTTGAACCCATGGACTTGTGCATGTGAGGCAAGCACTCTACCAACTGAGCTATACCCCCAGCCCTTAGCCATTCTTAATAAGGTTTAAAGTTTAATTAAACTCATTCTTACACAAGCATCTCAAGCATTTTGTAGATATTTGTTTCATAGGCACTTTTGTGTCAACCTGGTTCACCTTCATTAATGGAAATGGAGGTAGAGTGGCATTAACAAAGAATAACAAATGGATATTTTAGGAAAGGTAATGCTGCTTGTGTTTTTTGTAATAGCTTTTAGGTACCAGCAGGAGATGGGAGGCTAATCTATAGATGTTGGTTCAAATTTGAGGCTTGGCAGCAGTGTACATGTAGTAAAAATTGTGACTCAATTTGCTTTTCAAAATGTTAAGATACATTCTTTGCACAACAATTAGAAAGTAATTTTTTTTTTTGATCAGTCTGAGGTCTTAATAGTAGAGAAAATTTTCTCTAAGCCAAGAAATTTGGAGGCACTGCAGTTGTCACTATAATATTGCTTTTAAAAATCCTCAGTGCCCATGTTGAAATGGAGATGCAGTGTTACTGATCAGAATCCTATCAGGATTAAGAGGTAGAAAGCCTGTTCTACCTGAGTAGGGAGAGAACTCAGTTCCCATAGACAGGCAGATTCCTCAGTTCTCTATAGTCATCAAGTTGTGTGATCCCATCATCTTGGTATTTATATAATGGGGCAAAACCTGACCAGCTATTACTTAGGATAAGAGTAAGCTTTGGAAAAACTGTGCCTGCTAAACCAAATGGGAAATAGTTACACAGTTGAATGTCAGAAATACTTTTCATATTTTCTTTTTCATAGGTGGTGATATTCGGGAAGAGTCTTCATATAAAGTAATTGTCATGCCAACTACCAAAGAAAAGTGTCCTCGTTGTTGGAAGTACACAGCAGAATCTTCTGATACACTCTGTCCCCGATGTGCAGAAGTTGTTGGTGGAAAGTAGTGCTGTGACATCACTAGCTGAGCAAGAATCCTCATGACAGTACTGAGAGTTTACATGAATTATTTACAATACTGCAAAGAAATCTGAGGTTTAAAAGTAAGGAGTGGGAGTAAATGGTGAAGGATGAGTGTCAAAATCAGAATTGTGAATAGTATTTCCTGTAACTAAAGAATAATGTATATATACATGTGGAAATACAATTGCATATATATATACACACATATACATAATGGACTTATTCAGAATATACTTGCCTTCAAACATGGCTGAGCAGAATGTTTTATATTTTATGAAAATCTTTTTGACTCAGTATTTAAGTTCTATGATGTCTGAAAATAAAGGCATTCTGGAAAACTACTGACTAATGTTGGTGCAGAAATTGTGAATATCAAATGACAAAATGTGGTTTTGAAAGGGATCAGCAGAGGTGTATTTCCCCTAAGAGTTAAAAAGCATCATTCTGTCCACTACCCAAAATGGGAGTTTTTAAAAATGGCTTGCTTTTTGATTTGGATTGGAAAGAAAAACATCACTAAGTTTATTATTCAAGAAGGGACGAAATGTCTTAATACCACTAAACAAACCAACCAAAACTTACATTTATGAATATTAAGAAAACAACTTGAAAGCGGAGGATTTATTTCATTAATATACACAAGTTCACAATAATGAATACAGAAAAACAGCAGTATATACAGAATTTCACTACTTACATTACAATAGATAAGTAAGAGCATTTTATAAACAATCCAGTATTGGATTAAAGTCTAAGGATGGCTAATCTATTGAGCAGAAGTCTTAAGAGCCCAGCAAACCCATTCTTGTTACGGTGAGAGGGGGCTTTTACTGTTGCTATAGTGTACTGTCAAAATATCTTCTTTTACAAATGAAATGGACCACAGGAACTTCTAGGTGAATGTTATATTAGTGTAATCTTAGGATTATTGAATGTTTTCTATTATTTTAAGTTGTAATTGATTTTTTTAAAAAAGCAATGTAAATGTTAGTGTTTACTTTGACCTTAGATGAATTTTTATAACAAGGGTGAAACTTTTCTTTCTGTAAAAGTATGACACATTTTGAACCCCTTTATCTACATATATCCTGGCCTCTCTAGCTCTACATCTAAAAACACAATCTGTAATATAGAAGTTATGATTTTTGAACACCTGTGTTCTCTTTAACAATATACAATAGAATTAATTTAACAAGGTAAAAAAATGTGTATGTAATAAGGAAAAGTGGAGGGGTATATCTAGGAGGACACTACCAGTTATTAGCTTACCAGTAATTACAGTGATGGTCACCAAACCTTTGTTTTTAGTTAATCACCCATTCTACATAAAATCTCATTCCTCTTTTTGTGGCTTTTTGTTGTTACAGAATGTATACATAGGTACTTATTTTTCTTTATTATCAGATTTATTTTAAAAGCCCTTAATTAAGTAGTAAAATATTTAACTGCTTTTAACCATAAAACTAAATTTGAAAAATCTACGAATTTTAAATTTTCAGATGATAAATCTAATTAGAAACTCAGTGATTTGTGTTAAGGTTCTGTGAGCCATATTTCAGCTGCTGCTTCTCAGCAAGTCTCATACTTGATATGTAACCTCAGTACCCCTCCAAAAAGTGATAATGGAATTGAGAGGATTTCAATTTTTAAAATGCCTTTAACTCCAAGTTTCTTTAACCAAACTTCTAAATTCATATTACTTTCTAAGTATTTCAAAAAAAATCTCAGGAAAAACTAATGTTGTAGAATACATGTTACAGGTGATTATATAAAGCTAGATGTATTCATAGGAATCCTAGAATGTGACTACCTGGGGTGTGGAGATCCAAGCAGAGGCTGAGAGGCTGGACTAGCTTCAGGCCCTCTCCAGTGCTGTTACTCTGTACAACATGCACCTCGGCTCACAAGACACGCCCCAAACATCACATCTTAAAGCCCTTTTCTTTCAAGATCTGAAAATTGATAGTCACTTAAACCATTATTTTTAATCTAGTTAAGTTCTTATTTGGATGTGATCCTTAGTGAAAAATAATTCACACTAGAATATTCTCAAAACAACAGGTCTTTTTTTCTTTATATCCCTGAAGGCCATTCTTCTCAACTTTGCACAATGCTAGAGTTGGCTTCTTACAAGGGAGTGAAGAAACAAACTTCTGTACACAATGAGTCACTATGAATAACAACTGTAATGCATGACAGATATCAACAATTGTACTATAAGGCTACATTCCAAAGACATACCATAATAAATTCTTGGTATCTGTAGAGCTCAAAGCACTTTTTACAGACTTTTGGTTAGTTTGGTCTTAATTAGTAAATATTTAGCACTTGGACTGCTCTAGGCACTATAGGGTACAAAATTCATTGTATTTTATCCTCTCAACCCATCTGTGAGGTAGGTTTGCTAAAGCTGTAATATCACTATGCATTTTTTTTTCTGTAATGTTCCCAAGGACAGATAACATTACCAAATCCCAGAAGCAGATATTTCTAAACACTTGTAGGAAAAATAAAGTTGGACTTAAAATTTTTAGTATCTTCCCCTCTTTATATATATATATATGTTTTACAAGATAATACATTTTTTACAATTACCTGATGTGGACACAACTTTGCAACTTGGCAAAAAGCAAATCTTAATTTACATTGTAACTGATTTTGTTGCATTGTTAGCATGTCAGATTATCAATTTTGGCAATTACAACAGGTTAAGGGTTCTATCGAGGGTCCCTACTGATGATCCTGAACCCATCCATTCTTCCTCCTCTGATGGTATCAGCAGCACCTTTGGGAAAGGAACCTGTCAGCACCCAGAACTCCCAGGTGCAGCTACTATGGGATTAAGCATGATAAGGAACATATTTCCTAAACATTTCATAAGGGAAAGTGGGAGCTTTCTCTAAGTTTGCTGATGGGGAGTATACATGAACACATTTAATCACAATAACTTTTTAGGTATGAAATATAGAATCTTATTAATAATAAGAACATAACCTGTAAATTAAAACCAATTTTAAATAGCAAAGTTTAACAATAAAGCTACTTATGCATTTGAATTAAAAATAAACAGTAAAACATCTGTATTACTATAATATTTGTATTTTATCTTCAGTATTAACCAAAGAAGTGGGATTTAACCAGGATTGCACTTTTTAAAAGTAATATATATTTTTATTTAATTTACCAAAAAACCCCCCACATATTCCATAAAATTTCAGATCTTACTATGTAAAATAACCATGCAGTAATTCATGTTATAGTCACACAATTTTAGACTATTTTCAGTAGATAAGTGTCACAAAGAAGGAATGGATATGGCTTCCACAGCTTCAATGAGGTGTAAGGCTAGACTATACTGCCCGTGTTTTTCTGGTAAAAGCTCAATTACTTTATTTACTAGTTTAGCTGTTGTTGCAATTGGCACTTCAGTGTTTTGAAGATCCTGGGGGTTCTGTAAATGGGACAAAAATATAATCCATTAGTTATATGCAATCAAAAAATAACTGATATAAACTTAAGAATTAAAGAATTTTTTCCCAATAAAAATACTTTTTGTTTGGAACTAGGTGAATTAAACATGTAATTTAAATTTTCTTCATAAATTCTACTAAACATTCATCTAGTAAAATACCCAATGACCTTCTTTCTGCCTAATTTCCTTTGTTGTACTTACCATTGCCTTCAGCCAAGTGCAGAGTGTGGGCGGCAATCTGGCCAGCAGCTCCATCCCTTCTTTTGTCTGGGTGTGGAGAAGAGCATAAGCCAGCCTTTGCCCTGTCAACACTAGCAGCTGAGAGGCGAGGACCTCTTTATCATGAACCTGTAGAATGGCCTGAGAATGTGGACATGGAGAAATAATGTAGTAAGAGCTAACCAATTTATTTTTTGTAGAAAAGGAGGCTGTGGATGAAGAAATAGATCCTAGTTTGTTTTTGAGCTTGTGTATGTAATCAAAGTATAATATAAATCAAACAGCATTTAACTCCAAGTTGGTGATCAGCTCATTTTTCTTCCCTCACCACCTTCCCCACTGCCCCTTTTTGTCAGTCCTAGGGCTCAAACCCAAGTTCTAGCAAACCCAAGTGTGCTAGGCAAGTTCTACCCCTGAGCTACATCCTTAGCCCCTCATCACCTAGTTTCAATTCAGCATGACTATATAAGGTCTTGTTTCCAACCACTTGGCAAAGGAAGGGAATTACATTAGATCATATCATGACTACTTACAACCTTCAATGACTTTTGAATGTTCTGAGAATAATAATGGGTTAGGATACTGACTGTGATTGGCCCCTGCCAACATCCCCTCCTCATTTCATACATTTTTGCTCCTTGCTTACTAAGTCTGGCAGCCCACACTGGCCCTTTTGGTCCTGGCCATGCTGGTTCCAATCTCAGGGCCTTATACATTTGCTACTCTGTCTTAAGCACTGTTACCCCAGGTTTTTAAATGACTGATTGCTTTATATCCTTTGGACTTCAGTCTGAATTTCATTTTCTCTGACCCCCACACTCTACTGTAGTAGTCCATATGTATTCATAAGATGCTTTTTATTTTTCTTATAGCACTTCTCACTCAATACAAAAATTAGGAGCTTTTCTGAATGTCCAGCAAACATTGATTCCATGCAGAAAGAGCCTTGGATCCTTTGCTCATTGCTGTACTTACGCACAGAACAGGCCTAGCACACTATAGGAATTTATTTGATTATAGTTTTATATTTTAATATTCTATTATTCTATTTTTGTACCTAAAAGTTCCAACAAAAGGAAGAACAAAAAGCTGTATTGGAGAGCTGGGGTTATGGCTCCGTGGAAGAGCACTTGCCTAGGATGTGTGAGGTACTGGGTTTGATTCTCAGCACCACATAGAAATATATAAATAAAACAAAAGTATTGTGTCCATCTACAACTAAAAAAAAAAAAAAAAAAAAAAAGCTTTATTAGAAATTCTACTGATTCGTTATTCCAATTAACAATTTATAACTTGAGCCCAGTAAGCCTTCATGGTGTCATAATTACCTCTTCTGCTAAGTGGTCAACTCCATAGTTGTAGAGCTCCCCTACATAATGCCTCCTAACAACATCTTCACTAACTTGAAGGTGATGGGCTAGATCCACGGCTAGAACTGGCCAATCTTGATCCTTCCCAGGAATGGCTGCTGCCTCTTCTGAGGGATCTCTCTCCTTTGTCACTGAATGCTGGGACTGGACAGCTGCACTGACAACTTTCAGTAAGAACTTGAAAATGGAGAAGGAGATAGAGCAGTGTCTTGTTAGCACGATTCATTCAAAAAGACCTAAATCAAGGAAATTATTAGCTTTTTTGTCAACTAAGAGTGGCTCTTCCATTAAAAACTGTTTTCATTACCAAAAAAGGAACACACAATTTAAAGGGAAACTAGCTGTCAAGCATTACCTTGAAAGTGGACATCATTATAAAGGTCAGCTGGATTTTTGCTTTATTGTTCCCCTGCCCCCAAGAAACAAGAATGAAATCCAATAACTAGAATTTACCTGTTGTCGTATAGAAATAAAATTTGGATCCATTTCCCCACTGGGTAATAACTGAATTGAAGTTAAGTCTTTGAAAAATGCATTTTTTCCCTAAAGAGATCAAGAAAAGTGATGAGTATAGATTATTCAGGGAAAAAAGGGCAAGATTAAAAAGCTAAACTGTTTAATCACAAATAATTCATGGTGCTTTTATTTTCTCCTTAAATAAGCACACATGACAAAGAACTGAAACCTGCCAACAGTCACCCCAGTGAAGGCTTTTTGTGGTCGACACCTGACTACAGCCTCATGACAGACTACATCAGAGATGCCTAGATAAGGGGAATTCCTGACCCATAACAACTGGGATAATAAATGGAATCATTTGTTGAGTAGCAACAGATAAATAAAACATAGGAATAGTGTATACTCTGAATCCTTTTAAAAATATGTTGAATTGTTTAAAATTATGTTGTTTGAGAATTGATGTGTCTGAACAATTAAAACAGAATATCAGAAAATATCATTTCAGAAGTTCCTTGACAGGAAACAGCAAAGAGCACTGGCCTTTAAGTTGGAAGACCAGGATCTAGCTCCAGACCCACCACTTCTGCTGCCACTACCTCAGGCAATGACCCCACCATCTGGGTTACTGTTACTTTTTTTGCAAACAAGTCATTCCAGATATCTTCTAGTACCTTCCATACCTATTATGATTCTAGGTTACTGGTGCAGTTTGACTGCCAAGCAGGTTAAAGCTACTCACTCTTCAGTGATGAGACACACAAAATTCCCAGGGCAACATTCCTGGGCACCACTGTTAAAAGTTTTTCCACATACTCACCACAATCTGTTATTATGCAGTTCCCACCTACTAGTCTTAGATTTCAGGGATTATAATCATATCATTTATTATTTACTGTTTTTCAGGAACTACAAAGTACTTCATGTTGAATATGTCAGTTAACTCTCATTAATCAGAAGTAGGCACTAGAAACATCCCCACTTTCTAAATGAGAAAACAGAAGCTCAGACAGACTAAATAATTCTAATTTAGCTAATGAGATTCTTTTTTTGTAGCCAGAAAACCATACTGCCTTTCTATTTATAGATGACAGCCACATAGTTCTCTTGAGTCATCTTGGCATGCTACAGGGTAAAACTGACACCCCATCACTGTGTTTGTCCAGTTCTGGATTGTTCTGGTTTCACAAAGTCCCTTTTTTGGAAAGTACTGAGCTAGGCACCTAATTTTAGTATTTCCTATTCTTTTTTCTTTTAAGTACTTTTTCCTTTTATAATTTCAAGTGAAAGATATATCAGTTTATTCAAAAGCAGTACATACACATCTAATGCTTATTATTTTATAGGAAGATTAATATTGGTCATGAGACTTCCCCTAGTCTTCCTTTCAAAAGTAAACTTGGTATTTACCTAAATTCATTCCTTCCTCCCTACCTCCCTCCCTCCCTCCCTCCCTCCCTCCAGCTAGGGATTGAACCCAGGGCCTGTGCAGACTCAGTGTGCACTGCACTACTGGGCTACACCCCCAGCCCAATAGTGGAATCTAAATGTTAAATGTTGCTGATTTAACTGTAACCCCTTCCATCTTCTTTGGCACTATACCCAGTCTGTCACTAGATTACTGATTCCTCCAAATCCCTCCATGATTTTTACAACCTCTTCTCAGTCCACATCCTCTCCATGACTTCTGATGGTTTTCCAAACTCTGTACGCTACATATTCCAGTCTCTTCTGCACACTGTTGCCATGGCACTTTTCTTTAACATTTCCTAATTACAAATGTATTGGACATTAATTGAGGTCTTATTATGTACCAGGAATGGCACACAGACTTGAGAAAGAGGGGGTAAGTTCAAGGGGCAAAGACAAAAACTTTGAAGGAATGATCCTTTAGTGATAAACTGAGTAAACAGGAGCCATTCAAAACAGTTGCATGTGACAATTAAACAACACAAGTGAAGACACGTGATAAAAATGTTCAGTTTCTCAGGAATGGAGGGTGGTGGTTAGCAGTGATTACAGCACATGGTACAAGAAAAGAATGGCTGATAGGGCAATAAAGGTAAGTTATGGCTGTGTGAAGCCTCCTTTCTCCTAGTTTTCACATGGCATTCTCATTAGAATGACATTCCAGGTATCCTGCTCCACCCTTACTCACTCTTGCCCACATGGACAGGTGAATTTAAAAGAAGGACACTGAATATTCAATGTCCTTGTTTTCCCTAATGAAGAGAGAACAAACATATCCTCAGTTCCTACAGAGTCAAGTACCCCGGGAGGCCTGCAGGGGACCCACTGCCTGTTCTTGAGTGTGCAAGTCTGATAGAAAGGTGAAATGAGCCCACTTTCTGATAGAAGCTAGAATAGAGAACACAGCTTAGGCCTATCAGTAAAAAGTTTGTAGTGATTACATAATAGATTATTTAAAAGACTGAAAGTATGAAATTATGTCATTTGCTGGTAAATGGATGGACCTGAAGAACAGCATGTTATGATGAAATAAGCCAGATGCAGAAAAGTCAAAGGTCAAATGTTTTCTCTCATACGTGAAAGCTAGAGAGAAAAAAAGAGAAGGAATAAAAAAAAAAAAAAAAAAAAAAAGATCTCACAAAAATAGAAGGGAGAACAAAAGACCAATCAAGAGAGAGGAAGGAGATGAGGGCATGGGGAAGTACTGGAGATGAAATCTACCAAAAACATGTTATGTCCACATGTGACTATAGCACAATGAATCTCAACTGTGTATGTGTGGGGGTGTATGTATGTATGTATGTGTATGAGATAGTAGAATAGAGTGCACAGATTAGGAGAGAGGAGGGAGGGAAGTAGAAGGGTACTGGGGAATGAGATTGTTCAAAATATGTGCATGTTCAGATATGGCATAATGAATTCCACTATTAATTATAATGTACCAAGAAAGAAAAGAAATTGACATTTTTATCTCCATTTGTTGGAATCCTGTCTCTTTTTCACTGGCACCTGTGTGGGGGAGGAGGAAATGGTTTTATTATTCACAGCAGCCAAACTATGGAGGTTATGTTCTACTAATAAGTTTGGACTTGATCCTTCAACAATGTCAAAAAGCCTTAAGAAGAGAACCAAAATGATTCAATGTTTTGAGAAGACAGCTCTTGCAGCATGGGTTTTAAGAAAGAATTGGTGGCAGGGTCATTAGAAGGGAGCTGTTCTAACAGCCAAGGGACAGACGAGGAGGTCTGAGCTAGGGGAACAGTGATGGACAGAAATGGATTAGTAGGATTTAAGGAAGAACTTTTAAGAATGCATGTATAATAAAGTAAACGGGCTTGAAACTGGGAACTGAACCAGATAACTTCAAGGTTTCTAGTGTGTGCCAGTTCACAAATTATGATGTTAATTACCAATTATCCAAGCCAGGGATTCAGGGAGGAACGGCAAGTTTAGGTGAAGGGCAGAATGGGATGAAGGTCCAAAGATATATTTTAGATACAAGGTGTCCTAAGTCCCTTAGGACACTCAAAGAAAAATGTCCAATAGAAATACATGCCTCAGACTCTGAGGATAGGTCAGGTCTTGAGATAATCAAATCGTAGAGAATGAGTCTATCAAGGGAGAACACAAAGAATGAGAAGACAGCTGAGAGGGCAACACTCTAAAGGATGGAATGGAATCAGGAAGGAAATAAGGACCTGGAGCCTCACAACAAGTTATCCTATATAAGTCATAAAAGTACTGAACAACCTCTATTCAATAAGAAAATCCATGTACCTGCTAACCCTGAAACTCCAAAATAACTCTGAAATTCTTTGAGAACTTACCTTACTATCAAAAAGTGAAAGTGGCTTCACCGTCTTCAGAGAAAACCTCATGACTGCATACAAGATGGAGCACAGGATGGAATGATGCTCCACTAGTGGGTAGTGGATGTGCTTCTGTTCAAGGGCCAGCTCCACTATCGAGATAGGTCCTTCTACAGAGAGCCAAGCATCTTCAGTATCCAGGACAGGCACTTGTATTTCATCCCTGCTAATGTCTGCCTAAGGATTTTGAAAATGGAGGGCTATGTTAAGAATTGGAGAAAAAAACTTCTTGCAAATATCCTAATGAGTTTATCAACAGCAATGTGCAAACTCACATTCTACACTATCCAACTGTAATTAAAAAAGACAAAGTTTAATTCCAGTAAGAATTTAATAAGGAACATTGCTATCTTTTAGTTATAAGTCAAAATTTAGAAGAGAATAAATGAAAATAATATCATTATAATAGTCCTTTCTTATGTCCAATAACTTTCAGAATAGTTAATATCTTAGGAGCTGTTCAAAATGAAACTACACCTCTTTTACCTCCATTAAAGTCTGAAGAAGATCCAAGCAGGAGCCCAGGAATGATGTCATTGCTGTGTCGCTCATCCCCACATCCTATTTTTAAAAAGGAATATAATTAGCCTCTATAGAAAAACTATCAGAAAAACAACACATCTGTTTATTTGATTTGAAGTCAAAGCATTAATACAATTAAATTCCTTCCTTCAGACTCTTAGAGCGAAACAATTTTAAAATTTGGCTTTAAAAAGTGGTACTACTGGGCTGGGGCTGGGGCTCAGTGGTAGAGCACTTGCCTTCCATGTGTGAGGTACTGGGTTCAATCCTCAGTACCACATAAAAATAAACAAAATAAAGGTATTGTGTCCATAAACAACCAAAAAGTGGTACTACTATCATTTTTTAAAAATTTAGTGTTCTGGGCTGGGGGTACAGCTCAGTGGTAGCACATGAGTTTAGAATGCCCAAGGCCCTGGCTAAATCTCAGTGCATGCAGGTCAAGTAAGTACACAAAAACTAGTGTTCTTTGTATATTACAAAAACAGATAGTTCTTTGCTAGCCAAATAGTCATAGAAAATAGCAAAATGTACACATGAAGGCTTGAATTGTGGTTCAGGGGTAGAGTGCTTGCTTAGCATGTGTGAGGCACTGGGTTCAAGTCTCAGCACTGCATAGAAATAAAATAAAGATCCATCAGCAACTAAAAAAAAAGTACACGTGAGAGTCACACCTGAAAAGTTCTAATAAAACAGGCAGGTCTGATTTCAGAACATCTTTTAGGAACTGAACTGAATCCTCCAAACAAAACTAGAATCCCCAGCTCAAGAACTAAATATTGGATTCATGCTGTGGGCAACAGATATTTCTCAATGATTCCTTAATGGGTCTGTCCAAGGGGCCTTGCATTCGGGTATAATTTTTTTGAAAGCAACAAATAATAAGTTCCTCACATCCCCAAAGTACATAATTCAGAGTGTGTTTATTTATATGTACATGCAAACATACAATCATAACTCTGGTCACACCAATCATACCAATGTTCTTGAGAATATACCAGAATTCTTTGACAATGGTGACTTTTTTTTTTTAAGAACTGAGGCCTGAATTTGGGTGTCCTGATATTTCTTAGGCTATTTGTAATAAGAATAATCCAAAACTTTGGGCAAAAGCTGGCACTATTAATTACTGGCCTCAAATACAAGTCCAGCATCTGTGAATCAGATCAGAGTACCATTTGATTCAAAATAAACAAATTAATTAACAATTCTATTAATCAGAGGTAAAAACAGAATTGCTCAAGGTCATACAGTAGAAGCCCTGTAGTGTAAGGGCTTCCAGAGTCTTCACCTTGCTGGGAAGATTCCTAATTAGGGTCTTCATTCATATATTAACTACCTACCACTCAATGGGTATAGCCTCCTTAATTAACAGAATGCAAATTAACCCTTAACAGATATAGCCACACTCATTATTTCAGTATTGTAATAAAAATTATAGAAGGTAACAGGTATGGAGAAACAAACAAGAAAACAACAACGACAAAAGAATATCATTTAATTTCAATGTTGTATTTGTATAGTTATTACATTTAGGCACATCAAATTCACTACTCAACCAGGTGGGGTGGCACACACCTATAATCCCAGTGACTCAGCAGTCTGAGACAGGATGATCATAAGTTCCAGACTAGCCTGAGCAACTTAGTGAGACCTGACTCAAAAGAAAGAATAAAAGGGCTGGGGATATGGCTCAGTGGAAGAGCATCCCGGGTTTCAATTCCCAGGACCCCACGCCCCCACACCAAAAAAAGAAAGAAAATTCACTATTCATATGAATCTGCTTCAACTTGATGTTGGATTTTTCTATTATAAATTTCCAAAGTAGAGCAAAATTATACATAAATGGTAGAAGGTTATCTTTCTGCCCATAGTCCAAAACTGGACACACTGTATGAAAACTTAGTTTAAACAGCCCAACAATCTGGAAAGGTAAATTAAACTAAGCCATAGTTCATGACCAGTTTCCTTAACATAGCCTTCACTTTTCATTTTTCTAATCTCCTGATATGTCATCAAACTGACAAAAGACAAAGTTCACCTCTAAAGTTAATAAGGTACTATGGAACATATAGGATTAACAACCATACTTCTGGTTAAGAGAGATTCACTTACCCTTCGGCATAACCTATCCTTTGGTGATTTGCCAACCTACAACAAAAGAAACAAAATGCTGTATTATTTGGTAATTTAAATTAAAATGCACTACTAGGTTACAGAACATTTTAAGTATCACTTTAAAAACTATATATGCAACCATTAAAAAAATATGGCAATGTTTCCTTAATAAACTGTTGGTTCTGCTAAAGGTAATGCAATTAATTTTATGGTAAAACTTAAAAGTATATCACACTGAGCTCACAAATTATCCTTTTCAAAAATAAATCACATATTTTTTATATATGAAGAAAAAAGTACAAAAAATTGTATTTCTTTTTGTATAAATAACTGTGTTGCTAGAGCAAAACTTAAGGCCACCAATAAAAAAAAAGCACCTACTGATTTTGCTTGATAAAAACACACAATTGTTTTAAATAGTTAGAAAGAAGGAAAACAAAAGACAGTAGTCACATCCTAGCTCTGAAAGATTTTCATTATCCAATAAGTACCTACTAAGATTCAACTATACATGTCTATAGGGTAATAGGTGAGAGGTAAAAGTTCTACCCTCAGGGTCATTACTTGATAAGAAACTATAAGGAGATAGCAGAGAAGGGACTCTAGTACAAAAGGCTCTTTACTCCTTCCCTCTAAGATTACTGCAATACTAGATCAGCCCATCCCAAGTCTAATGAAATATTCTATGCTGTTGCCAGAACCATCTTTTTTTTTTTTTTTTTTGCCCTTCTTTTAGTTATACATGACAGTAGAAACTATTTTGATATATTTATACAAGCCTGGAATATATCTTATTCTAATTAGGATCCCATCCTTGTGGATGTACATGATGGTGAGACTCACTGTGGTATATTCACATATGAACATAGGAAAGTTATGTCAGATTCATTCTATTGTCTTTCCTTTTCCCATCCCCAGTCCCTCTCCTTCATTTGTCTAATCCAATGAACTTCTATTCTTCCTCTCTCCCCCCTTATTGTGTATTGGCATCCACATATTAGGGAGAACATTTGACCTTTGGTTTTTTGGGATTGGCTTATTTCACTTAGCATGATAGTCTCTAGATCCATCCATTTACCAGCAAATGCCATAATTTCATTTTTTTGTAATTTTTAAAAAATTTTAATTTGTTACAAAATGCATTATAATTCATATTACACATATAGAGCACAATTTTTCATATCTCTGGTTGTACACAAAGTAGAGTCACATCCTTCATGTCTTCATACATGTACTTAAGGTAATAATGACCACTGCATTCCACCGTCTTTCCTACTCCTACATACCCTCCCATCCCTTCCCTCCCCTTTTCCCCTTTGCCCTATCTAGAGTTGCCAGAATCATCTTTTACAATGTAAATCTGAGTGTGTAATTCTTTAAAAAAATTATATATAATTCTTTTTAAAAAATTAATAATATATATTATATATGTAATATATAATATATATTCTTTTAGTTGTTGATGGGCCTTTATTTTGCTTATTTATTTAATATGCAGTGCTGAGAATTGAACCCAGTGTCTCACAAATGCTAGGCAAGCACTCTACCACTGAGCCACAAGCCCAGCCCTAGTATGTAATTCTTATCTTAAAATTATCACAATATCTTTGATATCAAGCAATAGATTCCATTTACTGAGCCCTCACTGTATGTGCCAAGCAGAACCTATGCTAAGCAGTTTGCAAATACTAGTAGAAAATCCAGACCCTGAAGCCGGCACAGAAACCTATTCTTGCTCAGCATCTCCTCCCTTCCTACATACAGCCTATGCTCCAGCCACATGAAGCTACTTACAGTCTGAATCCAACAAGATGCCTCTTTTCTTCAGGACTTTTTGCTGGAACACATTTTTTTTTTCATCCATTCTTTACTGGTTCACATGTACTCATATATCAAAATCTGAGTCAGAAGCTTTCCCCTTGTCTTGCTACATACTTCTTCAGGGCTCCCACAATTCCCTACCTGTCTTTTAGACTGGGTTCCAGTAGGGCTAGGACTATGACTTTCATCTGTGCCATCATAGAACCTACCACAGTCGTTGACACATAAGAGATAACGCTTTATAAATATTTATTGAATGAAGGATTTATTGAATAATGACAAACTCCCTGCTTCCAAGATCAGTACTGTTTTCACACAAATCAAACTGTGAGGATTAAATGTGTGAATAAGAGACTCCTAGCTCTGAAAGATTTCCTTGATTCAATAAGTACTTAGTAAGATTCAACTGAAACTAATTGTGTAACACACACATACTTTTCATTAATATTATCTCAAAAAAAGGGGATAATCAGAAGTGAGATAAAACAAGAAATAATCATCACAAAGGGCAAAAGAATAAAGTTCTAAGAGATAATAATCAAACAGGTAACAAAGGTGAACATGAGGGAAAATAGTTAGGATTTTGAGGGGAGGAATGCTGAAGATTGAACAAGGCTATGTGCATACATGTGCTCTTCTACCATTTAGCTACACCCTCAGCCCAAGAATGGTTAGATTTAAGTGGGAAAAATTATCAAACAAAATATGTCCATGGGGAACAATACCCTTAATATCTATTCATGATACAAGGATGGCTATTGCTGTACACTTAAAAAAATATTTTAATCCTAGTGGTGATTCTCTTGACATCCACTTAACTGATGCCAAACAAAAATGCTTTATAAGAGGCAAGATGGCTACTCTCCAGTATAAGAGCAGCATCAGTTCTCATCAGATGAGGTCTGTGCTTACATGTTATGTTTGTCTTCAAATCTCCTGCTGCCTGTACAAGTCATTGTAATTATGATTTCATTAAATAACTGATAAATACTAAAGTGAGTTGTTTATATGAATGCTGTGGTGAATGCTCTATAAGGATTTATGGACAAGAATAAATAACCCCTAGGTCTGTTAGATCATATATAGAATAAACAACGATAATAATTAGGGAATGTGTTATAAAAAAATCTAAAAATTTTTTACTTAGATTATATCCAACTTTAAAGAACTAGGATCTAGAAATGACAGGCAATGCATTATGAATGAGGTTTACGCAAGAAACCAAACAAGAACTGTAATCAACACTATACGAAGAATCTGCCTTGGCCCTATATTCAAGATTGGTCAAGATTGGTGAATAACAGGGCTGGAGATGTAACTCTGTGGTGCAGAACTTGCCTAGCATGAGTGAGGCCCAGGATTTAACCCTCAGCACCCACCACCAACACCACACACACAGATTGTTAAGTATATATTTATATATTTTAAGATAAAATAATGTTTGAATTGACCAGGCATCCGAATGCCTTTGGGTAAGAGGTTTATTTTATCTTATAGTTGTCAATGGACCTTTATTTTATTTATTTATTTATTTATATGTGGTGCTGAGAACCAAACCCAGTGCCTCAGACATGCTAGGCAAGTATTCTACCACTGAGCCATAGCCCAGCCCCAGGTTAAGAGATTTTTATAGTATATTATTCCCAGTGATATTTGGTGCTCTTCATTATGTCATTAAAGTACCTGTACTGGAAATGCCACTTAACATAAGTAAAATGTAATATCACATAAAAACAGAGTCTAACAAGGCCCAGTGTAAACATTCCTTCTACTATCACTAAATTAAGTTAACTAACTAAATAAGAAGTCATTACATGAAATTTAAAAATACCCTACCTTATCCATCAAGTATGTAGCAGCAGAAAACCTTTTAACCAAGAATGTATTCCACATCATCAACGCAATGCCTAGAGAGCACAGAAGAGTATAGTAGTGAATGGAATGCTTATATAGCCTCACTGTCATCTTACAGAACAAATTATTGCCTTCCTTAAGCTTATTACACTATATGGGCTATTTATTCAGATGTCATTTCTTATATCTCAGGTAAAATTTACAAAGTTAATAAAATCTTTAAAAGTCTGAACAGTGCTGCAAAAGAGTATATCAAAATGGTCAATAAGCATAAGGGAAGATTTACATCATGAGTAACAACAGAAACATAAAATCACAATAAGGTACCATCATACAACCACCAGAATGGTTTAAAAAGTTTGAATGACAATGCAAGTGTTGGTGAGGATGTACAGAGAACAAATCCTGATGGGATTACAAATTGGTAAAAGCACCTGGAAACTGGCAAACTCTACTGTGGCTAAATATGTGTCTATCCATCATCCAGCAATCCTGCTAATTATATACCCAAGAGAAATAAATACAAAATGTACAAGATTTTGAATACAAAATTGTTGAGACCAGCTTAATTCATAATAGCCAAACACTGACAATAATCAAATAGTCCACTGATTTTTTTAAATTGTAACCATCAACTAAAATAAAATTAAAAAATAAAATGCAAAACAATGTATTTAAGCCAAACAAAAAAATCTGGACTTTATATTTACATATTCGCTAAGTGGTGGCATTAAAATTTCTGAAACAGTTGGCAATTGGACAGCATAGACATGACATTCAGCTTGGGAAATAGAAGGTGACAATACTAGCCCCCTCACCATCTTCTAAATAGCATTTTTCCAAGAAGGTAAAACAATCATTATTTCACTATAGCAATACATAGTAATATATTAGGTGGTAGGACAAACAAGAATTTAATGAGATATGAATTTGAAGATTCATTTCCTATTAAAAGAAGAGGACTCTTCTCAACCAATCAGTGATGTTTTTAACATGTTTACTTACCATTTTGAACATGTGCATTAAGAATGTGCTTCAAGTGTTCTATCGACCTTACGAAAAAACGTGCTTCCTTATATACAAACAGGAAAAAAAAAAAAAGAAAAAAAATGTATTTAATAGATGTTTCAAATACCAATGGTTTATGTAAGCTTTTGTATAAAGCTTTCTAAGAAATTTAAAGTTTGCAATAAAAACACGGAATTACTGGATAAAAAGTAACTTTCTGTAGGAAAACTTCAATTGTCCTTCATAAGTTCACAGTACCTGTATAATGAGTTATTCCTAGAAAGTTCCAGGGCTGTCTATGCTGACATCTGGATTCAAATTCATTATGGTTTGTATCCAGTTCTCTCTCCAATTAATACTTCAATTTCACACAGACGTGAATACAATAAGTTCACTTTTGCAAATGTCATTCATTCATCATTCAACAAATATTTATTGAGCATCTACTATGCACCAAGCAAGTCCTGTCTGAGGCACCAGGCATACTATACTGAACAAGACACCCAAAGCCTTGCCTTCACTAAGCTTACATTCTAGCAAGGATACTAGACAATGAACATGACCATTAAGTATATTATGCAGTATGTTAGCACTAAGTGCCAAGGAGAAAAAAATCAGAACAAGAAAGGAAAAATGAAATATCAGAGGGGATGTCTGAAACTCAATTCTTTATAATCATGGAAGTTGATATATTAAAATGCAAATACAGAATGAGTACAGATAATTAAAATGCAAATACAGAATGAGTACAGATAATGAACAGAATGTAAACAATTTCAAAAACACAGAAATGTATAAAAAGAATGATACTCATCTCTAACCTTAAATATTGCAAGATCTGTTATTTGAGGGACTCTTTTGACAGAAAGAACCTCAGAGATAAGTCTATTAGTGTATCTTTTCCTTTGAGTGTATATATGTAGTTTTTCTAACTAATTAAAAAAATATATAGTCCTGGTGAAACTATCCATATCTGTACTCTCATTCTGTATCCCTGTACACAGATTAAACACATCACCACTGCCAATACAGACTGGTGTTAGAAATTCCCTAATAGTAATTTCAATTACTTTAAGCCTATGGAAGGAAGGGGTGTGTGTGTGTGTGTGTGTGTGTGTGTGAAGTGGTGGAGCTGGTACACGGGTTTAAAATGGGACAAGGGGATGAATATTTTTTTTAAAAAAAACAGTCACTCATTTTAAAGGCAAGCAATTCTAAATATGGCTAATAATAACTCTAATGAAATGCCAGACACTAAACATTCTTTTTTTTCCCTCTATAAACTTCTGCAACTCTTCAAGATGACTATTTTTATAGCAGGAACAAATGGACAGGGTTCAGAGACATTTCCAATGCCATACTAGATATGTGCTATGATCATTAGCAGCTATACACAGTGGCAAGGGGGATCCAGGTCAGCTCTGTCCACTGGGCAAGCTATGTCCACTTTGATTTGTAAACAAATGCAGTAGTGTTTTCTTCTTAAATGTCATTTTCTCAGACATAAATTAATTTATTTGGATTTTAGAAATTATGTCCTAATTCTAGTTAACATTCCTTTTTGTCATGGACTGCAAAAAAAAATATGCCATTTAATTAGAGAGCCTTGAGGAGAAAATTCCCTGATATCACTTTTTGGTTAAGGTTTAATTAACCAAAGAATGGTCTTTTATTTAAATTACTTACATTTTAGTATCTTTTTAAAATTATATAATCATTTACATTTTACTGTCTTTCTTTAAGTGATTACATATTAAATAACACGTTTTTTGAAGGAAGGAAGAATGTATTGCTATTAATATATTAGTGCAAATAGTTCACCTGTGAATTTTTCTAGAAGGGTGTGACTTGATATAAAGACAATAAAGAATTTTTGAGGGAAATGATTTACCAGAACACTAACCAGGGAACCCTAAGTGAAGGACTGATTGACAAAGAAGAATATCCACCAGACCGTTCTACATTTTACTGTACTGGTATCAACCCTGAAAGGTTGGTGCCTTCATTAATGGGAAGGAGTGGAGTGAAACAGAAAAAGATCATAGGTATTAGTCAGTCACCAGATGTTGGTCAGCAAATCATCTGGAACCCAAATCCAAGCTTGGGATCTTCTCCCTATACTGTTTCTAGACCATGAATGCCCAGAGAAAAGATGGTGGCTACCAAGAGTGGTGGAGGAAAATTAAGCTTGAGCAGAGTTTGCGAGGGCAACAAGGCTAACCTTGGACAAGAATCACCCTGTACACAGTAGGGCTTTTTAAAATTGTTAGAATCTGAGGCAAATATAAGAGAAGTAACAAACATACAAAGAATAAATATACTTGTTACAACCTAACTAGGAAGTGGAATAAAGTATGCTGACTTTAAATAAAGAAAAATCTATGCTTAAAATTTGACACTCAGCAGCGTATCCTTAGACAGGGAACTCAATTTCTTTGAGCCTTAGTTTTCTCTTCTCTAAAGTGGAGATAATGACAAAATCTATCCTTCATAGTTTACTGTATTATGAAAAGTCTTGGAAGAGTTGCTAGTACAGAGCTGTGATAACAGGGAAACAGTAAATAAAGAGCCCCCCACATGTATGCAGCATGAGCACAGAAACAAAATCAGCATGAAGGAAGTTATAAGAATCTTACCTCTGGATCTTTATTCCACTGAACAACATACTCCCAGCAGCAGTGGGCATGTAGCACATCAAGCTCAAGGCTACAAGGAAATTGCTCGTAGGCTAAACGTAGCAAGTCTGAAAGTCACAAGAGAGGGGTGATGTTGGTATTTCCTTAATGAAAACTCAACCACACCTCTCTACTCTCAATTTCATATTTCTCATTATTTGTGTATCACCTGGTATGGCTCCTAAGTCCGTCTCCACCTCTGACACCTCAAAGAAACCTCTGTTAATACCTTCTTTGGGTTCATCTGGATTTTCTACATCTCTTTCTTTATTAGCCAGTTTCAATACTTCAGGGCTAAAGTCTTGTTTAAATATCCACTTGGCCACACTGTCTGCAATGCCACCTACAGGTTGGAGACAAGAAAGAAAATGAGAATTTAAAACATAAGCAGCAGTGCTTGATAAATGAAGTAAATTTACAGTGCATGATGTGTATTTCGTTGGAAAATTTCTAAGTGCTACATTCAGTTTTAAACCTGAAGGTGACCCCAAAAAGTCGTGATATATATAGAAAAGTGACCATCACTCAACTGGCAAGGGCAAGTGAGATATTTGCTATCTCAAGGCATCTTTATACTTTCAGAAAATATTAGATAAATTTAATGCAAATGCATGCATGTCTACACTATATACCACAAATTTTATATGTGTACAAATTCTAAAGATACTTTAACAAACACATATCAAAAAATGAGTACACCTGTAAAAACACTTTCATTTAAATCACAATTTTGATCATCAAGTCTCCTCAGGAAAATAAATACGATAGTACCTTGAATAGAAAACTAATTTGCCTATGAAATATTTGTGGGAAAAATTCAGTCATCGATAATCAACATGACCAACATAGTTCAAAAATTTATAAATGCAAGCTAAAAAAACATTCAAAATCTATGAATGTGGACAACATTAAAAATGATCACAAGTCATAAAAAATGAATTAATTAAATAAAAATCTATAAATACTGGATAAACCTAGAAACAGTCATCCTGTTATGAAATGTCCAACAAAACTTCTGGTAAGAGTGAGCACCCAAAGATAATAAAAAATGTACAATGCTATGGTCCTTCAAAATATAAGCACAGGAACCCTAATGACTCTATGCAGAAAACAGTATGTAAGATAAGAGGACAAATATTGTATTTTCTTATATGAGGAAGAAGAGAGTAGAATGAAGAGTGGATACCAGGAACTTGTGGGGAGGAGAGGGACGATGCAGAGAGGATGATTAATGGCACAGGGGTGCAACTGGAGAGGAGGAATAACTTCTAACCCTCTATAGCAGAGTAGGGTAACTATGGTTGACAATAATTAATTGTATATTTCAAAATAGTTAGTAAAGAGTATTTTGAATGCTGCCAACACAAAGAACTGTCAGAGGTGATGGATATGCCAATTATGCTGATCTGGTCATTACACATCATAAACAAAATGTCACACAGTATCCCATAAAAAAATACATTGTTACAAGTCAATAAAAAATAAAAATATATGTAAGGAAAAAACAATACAAAGAAAACAAGGAATAAAATTCTGTGGGTATTAGGAGGAAGAAGAAAAAAAATATCAGAGGAAGAGGAAAAAATTCTTAGAGGAAGGAGAACGTGGCCAGACCTTGAAAGATGATTAGATGCTTAGGAGTGGGTAAGGTGGGGAGAGGGAGGAGGACAGGCTCAGATTCAAAGATCGGAGGCCCAGCTGGGTGAGGTGGCACAGACTTGTTACTTGGGACAGTAAGGCAGGAGGATCCCAACTTCAGACGAATCTAGGAAACTTAGTGAGAGACTGTCTCAAAATATAAAGAACTGGGTACACTTTAGTGGTAGAGCATACCTGGGTTCAATTCCCAATACCACAAAAAAAGCAAAAACAAAAAAACCCCACAAAGCTGGGAGTCCCACAGATGCTTTATTTTAACTAAAACCTAGAATTAGTAAATATTAATTTAGAAAAAAAATCTCGCAATGTAAAAATATAAATGCAAATGCTAAATTTTTGCTTACCTTTTCCTCCTTCTAACAATTTTTTAACAGAAAGCTTTGGAAGTGGCTCAGCTTGCAATGATGACACTTTGGAGTTTCGAGTGCTGCTCCCTTTGCTGTGAAGCAGAGTCTGGAGTATGAGACAATCCTCCAGTTGTTTCAGCAGGAGTTTCCAGTATTCAGTGTCAAGAGAAAGAGCCTCCCAGGAATCAGTCAGGGCTTCTGAATCAGTACCCAAAACTGTTTGAGAAAACTAACAGAAAATGTTCTGGGTCAACATTAACTTGAATAAACTTTTATCTTGAAACATTATAGACAGTATATATCACAATGCAACACTCAGATGCTATTTCACAATGATACTACTTGACTAGATAAAACATGAGAGTCAAAAGTAGACTGGAGACTCAGGGGACAATGTAGAGGGCTACTGTAATAATGACCCTGGTTCAATCAGTATAGTGTACATTTCAAATAATTTTCTAAGCCTTCTTTGGCAGGGGCAACAGTTTTTTCTATTAGTAATATCAGGATACTGATATCTCTTCAGAATACATGGACCAACTTAAAAATATCTGAAATTTCCTCTCTCCATCATTATAAAACATCTCAAGTTGGCAATATTAAATTTAGCCTATAAACTACTATGGCTGACAATGTTAACTGAATCTTCATAGAATTACCCAGGTGTCTCTCCAAATTAATGGAACATCCTCAAGGAAAAACTATTGCATCCTCCATGAAATATATGAGATGTTAGGTTTTTTTTTTTTTTTTTTTTTTAAGATATAAATTTGAGTTCTAAAGAGGTAAGGAAAAACCATTCAATCAAAAGGTCAGTAGGAAACTTAAGTTGTTCAAGGGCAGGTTTATAAAAGCGTGAAGAATAAAACAATCATAGAACTTGAGAAGAATAAACTTGAGACAAAGTCTAACCCTAACCTCTTTTAGATGAGAAAACTAAAGCTAGGAGAACCACTTTGAAGCATTTTTCTCCTATGACATGTGGCAAATGTTAAATTCAAGTATGTACAACATCTGAATAAACAAATTGAGGGCAGCACTCCAAATTAGCGCCCCCCCCCCCAAAAAAAAAAACTTTAAACAAATAAGAACCTGATGGACATATATTTTAAATTCCATACATTCCATGAAACTGAAGACAAGGAATTCCCAGGAAAGGAAAAGCATCCTCTTTGCCAAATGGATAAGTACAGAGCAAAGCCACACCTTTGCCAACTTACTTTTTTCTCTGTCATATTGTTTGATAACTGTGCAGCAACAGAATGCCCAACATGTGCAGATAATAGAGCAGCTCCATTGTTCTCAGCCTGAATACAGGCCATGCGCATCTGCTGCCACCAAGGGGACACAGACTGAGAATCCCAGGTCTCATCAATTGCCACTAGAGGAATAGGAAAAAAAGTTCAAAGTAAATTCTTATCTTGTTTATTTTTTTTCTTATCTTTCATGTGTAAAGCTAAATTTTACAAAGATGTATTGGTGTATTTCTGAATGAACTGATAAATCTTATAATCTATTTTATTTTGAACACTTATATTCCATTTCTTTATAATGTTAGTCATCTTGTTTCTGAATCAACATTAAACCCCTATTTGCAATATTTTCATCATTACTAACCAAATATCTTAATAGATTATTGTTCTGATAATCATAAAAAATAAAAAAAAATTACTTCCACCAAAGACTATTCAATTTGCCCGAGTTAAGAAAATGTGTTATTCATGTCATGTTACATTTTATGACGACACAAAATTAATTTTCATATAAAGCATACTTCAAATGTACTACAATCGTTCTATTAATACAAAAAGAATCCCTATAGTGAATTGTTTTGTACACTACAGCCTCCTTTCGTTAAAACTCTCCTCCCTGCCTATTTCTGTGGTATTTCAAACACCAAATATTGTTTCTAAGAGCAGCAGCCCAAATCCTGAGAATGGTGAACTACACACAGTATGGAGCAGCTTCCTACCTTTCATCTTGCTCAGGAGGGACAGCATCGTGTGAAGACAGCAGACAGACTGTGGTTTATCCAAAATATCTTTTTCCTTAGAAAGCCAAACACTCAGGAGCAAAGACTGAAATCAAATGTAAATCTCTTTCAGATCTTGCGCTTTCTTAGATGGCACCCTGTACACATAAATAATGCAGCCTTTTGAATTGGCTACTTGTTACATTGTGTAACATGAGGGTCAGAATGAGATAGCCTAAGAGATCCTTCATATCTGCTGGATACCTAAAGTTTGCCAATTTCTGTCTTGTCTTTACCCCCAATTCAAACCTCTCTGTAGAAGCATATTACCAGTAAGGATGCTACTATGTGTGAATTTGCTGTGGATTAGTGAAGTGGCCACTGTCGGGAGGTATGAGTGAAGAGAGTGAGCTGTGAATCTTGCCCTTGCCTTGGCTGTACCAAAGATGCCATGGTCTTGGCAATGGAGAACAAGTACACGAGACCACCAAACTTTCCTTTTAAAATCACTAACAAGCTATGAAAAATATGTTTTAAATAAAGACACCTAAGTAAACAAAGTGACTTTTAACATAACTATCAACCACTGTATTTATTTAAGTTTACAACAAATTTAATTTTAATAACTGTCTCATTGTTTTGTGTGCATGTGTGCTGTGTGGGCAGAGTGGAATTTATTTAATCTTTAGGCTCACCATTAGGTTGCCATTAGACTCACTCCGATTCCCCTCCCTCCCTCCCCCCACCATATATATAATTCTATTAAATTTCGTGATTACAATTTGATCATTCTTAGGAGGTTTTTAAGTAAGTTCTACAATATGCTAAAAGTAAACTATTTTAAAAAAGATAAACCCTTGTAGCTAACATTTGCAAAGAATAGCAGCATCCAGCAACAAAAATCTTACCAACAACAGCTGAGGGCTAAGTCCAGCAGACTCCAAAGTGTGACACATATCCTCAGTGGAGCTTTCTCCATGCAAACACTTCCAAAAAAAGAAACTACCTAGCAAAACAAAAACAGAACACATTAGCCAAGGGATAATTACCATCTGGACTAACAATTATCCCAAGATGCAATCTAGAATTCCAGAGGAGCAAAACAGCATGACAGAAGAAAAATCAGCAGTTTAATATGCCTAATTTATTAAAGTAGAAAGCAAATCATTATATGTTTAACACTGTCTCTTTAATATACACCTTACATAACAGAATACATGTAAGGTGTATCCAGAGTATCTTTTCTTGACCAAAAAGTATCAATTTAGTTCTTTGACTTTGTCCTAAAATTAAATGGATCAATCTACAAGATGCTATATGCTCCTACCTGGCTTTCTTCTAGAAAAGGGCGGTAATAAAAATATAAAGAGCAGTGTATTATTTTGCCTACCTAAAGCCACATATTCTTCTTCACTTATCTTCTTTATGTTGAGCACATCTTTTTCATATTCTAAATATTCCAGAAACGTCTTTATAGGCAACACACCATCCTTATCGTCAGAAAACCGGACAGTAGTTCTGGTGTTCTCTTGTTTATATTTCTCTAATAATGCCTGGAGCTTAAGTAGTTCTTTTTCATCAAGCCTTAGTAATATAGCTAAATCCTTAAAAAAAAAAAAAAAAAAAAAAAAAATTCTGAATACACCATGTCTCTCTAAATATGCCATGTGTGTCAAATCCTATTATCTGAAATGATTTTCAAGGCTGTAAGAAAAAGATGACATTTTTATTAATGTGACAGCTATAATGGACTCTGCTTAAACTTTACACTCAAATTACATTTCATGAATGGTTATTTAAACAAAATAATCTTGAAAGTCTACATAATACTACTAAAACTACCATTTCAGGTTTGAGAGTCCTCAATATTCTTTAAAATGTTAGGATTTCAATAAACAGGTATCATCGTATAATCAGAAAAAAATTCAAAAGATATCAACTGACACTCTTATTCTGAAAAAAACTAAAGAACTATTTAAAATTAAATGCTTATATACTAAACAACATACATATTATTAAAGAAAAATGGGAAACAATTCTCACTGTATTTACACATAAGTCCTCTGTGTGGCTCTCAGGGACATAAAGATTTAAAAACCACAGATATTACCCACCAGCATTTTAACTACTTTGATACACCATAGATGCAGAAACATCTCTTCATACTACTATCATTTTTCGAAAAGTATACACACAAACTTTGCTGCAGCAAAGTTTCCTCCATGCTACGTAAGTAAAGCCACTTTCTTAAATAAATTTAATTCATTACTTTTAGCTATTGTTTTTAAAGACAAACAGCAAGCTGTAAAATGCTATTAAACACAACACAGCACATTGAGTTACATGTATTAAACCCCACAAACAGCAAAAAATAAAAATTCAAATATGAATTTTAGTTTTGCATGTATAAAATTAGTCCTTTGGCCTAGAAACTGGCAGTATCTTTTAAAAGCATCCAAACAATCCTATAGCAAAATACAGTTTTAATTCTTTAAAAGTGCTTTTAAAATAACAAAGAATAATTTGCCAACTGATTTTCAAGATTTTTGTGATTCTTTTATCTCTGCACACTATATGGATGTATCAATCAAGTGAAAATGAATTCTGTAAGGGGCTACATATTGAGCTATCAAGTGGAAATTAATTCTACAGATGATTATTAATGACATTAAGTTGTTAAGTATATTTTTATAGTAGATGGACACAATACCTTTATTTTATTTTATGTTATGCTGAGGATCAAACCCAGTGCCCCACACTTGTTAGGCAAGTGCTCTACCAACTGAGCTACAACCCCAGCCCCAACTTTTTGTTTTTTAGGTAACAACTTTAAAAAAATAAATATTTGGTCAATTCCTGCAAAAGAGTTTTGGATTCAGGCATTGAAGAACCTAAAAAAACTGATTTGCTGGGGCTGGGGTTGTGGCTCAGTGGTAGTGCACTTGCCTGGCGTGTGCGAGGCCCTGAGTTCGATCCTCAGCACCACATATAAATAAAGGTATTGTGTGCAACTACAACTAAAAAACAAATAAATATTTTAAAAAACCTGGTTTGCCCATTTTTAACATCAATTACAGAATATCATCATGAACACAGTATTATTAAACTGCTATATAAAATCCATCTAAAATTCCCCAAATTAAAAACAATATTAGAATGTGTGGTTTTTTCCCATAAAAAAATCTTCCCTCATTTTTCTATTTATAAAAATTTTATTTGTGTGTATGTATATTTAAAATAAAAGATTTCTACATAAAACCTCACTGAATTTTCAAATATGCCAGATATTTTTCCCCCAGGACTAAGGATCAAACCCAGAACCTTGCATATGGTAGGCAAGTACTTTACTACTGAGTGACATCCTCCTAGCCAGACAATTTTAAAAGTGCATCATCAATAACTCTGACAAATCACAAAAATCATCTCAACTTACTCAGGTAAGTAGAGGACACGAGGTCCCAAGGTTGGGCACCTGCCTAATGTTATAGTTATTTTCTTGTAAGACACTATTTTTCTCTATTTTCTATTAGGATTAACTTTATTTCTCTGCATAAAAAACAAGAATTTTGTACACATTCCTCAGAAATAATACTATACTACAATAAATATTTCAAGGGGCTGTCTCAAATTTGTTTTATAGAATAATACAACATTTACTGTAACTGTTTTAAATACTATTGATATAAGGTAGAATTTTAAGAATGTATTTCATTATGTAGTACACAAAAGAGCAAGCTTAATTGTTTGCTAAGAAAAACTGATCTCTTCTATATCACAGAATTATTTTTTTCATAATAAGAAATTATAGTTTTATAATATCAGCAAACTTAAAATATTTTCACTGGAAATCTTTTCTAGAAGTTGTTTTATTTATAAGAAGTCAACTTTAAAAACTGTGTTGAGAAAAACCAAATAAGTCTAGAGTAATAAACATCAATTAATAATAAAATTTCATATTCTCATATTAGTAGTATAATTTTAGCAGCTAGGCATTGAAAGTCAGTAGGGGCATGGTAAAGAAAATTTAACTTCTAAAAAAAACTTGATTTTTCTACTACTTTATAACTTTGAGAATTAAACATATATCAAAGAGACTATTTTGTATAATACTAAAATTTTGGATTACTCACATTATCAGAGACTGGTGTATCTGAATGAAAATCAACGGAATTCAACTGACTGACAGACTCATAAAGATGTAGTAATTTCAGTTTACTGGCACAAAATTGTAGCAACCCTTCATCAACAGACTCAAGTTCTAAAAGGCAGAAGGAAAAACATTCAATGTTCTGTTGTATTAATTATTGGAGTGATCAAACAATAACAGATTTTGAAAGCAAAGGTAATTTTTTCCATTATGGTAAAATGTATAACTTTCTAAATGAAATGAAATGCTCTAATAGTAGGAAGGAAAAGAAATGGGGGGAGGGGCAGAAAAAATAATCTGGAAATCCTTTGAAAATGGTTTCCTTCACCCCATAACTACTATGCCCTGCTATGCTCACATACTGAAGAAATTCAATTACAAAGTTGCTTGACTCTTATTATTATGATGGTCAAAGATAATAAAATTCAACTAGAAACTATGAACTGTGACAAATTTTTCCTCAAGAAAGGCTCACAAATATATTGAAATTAAAATTCCATTTAAGCACACACATTCTCCTTGAATTCCATTTAACACACCCCCCCATTAGGTTTTATTTTGTTCAAGATTAATGCTGAGGAAATACTTTCTAAATACATTTCTGAATGAGATTTTACATATTTATATGTAATATAAAACAAATATTTGTTCTTTGAAAAGACAGACAATGAAAAGCCCCAAGAAATCTCATTTAGGATGTAATAACATAGAAAACCATCCAGGTTCTTATTGATAACAATAAAACTCAGCAAACAAAACACTGGAAAATTTTAGGAACCTCACTTATGGGTTGAACTTGAAACTGTGATGATCGTACAGAACTCCCAAAAATGATGTTTGGCTTATTCCCAGCCCAGTGCAAGATAATGTTTCATTTAATAAATTTTGATATTTTGTTAAAACCTTGAGGGATGGGGGGGCGTTCTGTTGTCATATATTGTGATTTTTATTTCCTTTTTTTTTTTTTTTAAAGCAGGTAAAATAGCACTTTAATGAAGGGCTACTATGAATACGGACCATTAGCAACAGCATCTTACAGTAGGGGAGAAAGGCTGAATTCAACTTCCCAGTATACTTTTTTTTTTTTTTTTTTGGTACCATGGATTGAACCCAGGGGCGCTTAACCAGTGAGCCACATCCCCAGCCATTTATTAGAGACAGGGTCTCACCGAGTTCCTCAGGGCCTCACTAAGTTGCTGAAGCTGGGTTTGAACTGGCAATTTTCCTGCCTCAGCCTTCAGAGTTGCTGAGATTACAGCGTATACCACTGCACCCGGCTCCCAGTATGCTTTTTAAAAACAAATATTCTAACCAGTTCTGCACACTAAGGAGTTTACTGTTTACTGAAAGTCAGCTTTATATATGTGTTGGGAAAAAGTTAATAGTAAATAAAAGTAACTAAATAAAATCCTGAAAAATATACTATAATTTGTTTATTAAGTTACCATTGGTTGGCTTTATACATAATTAAAGAAAAGTATAAACATAAAACTATATTCATATAATTATCATGGCTACCAAAAAATCAAATAGATGCACACTACAATTTAACTAATGTTAGGAATTCAGGATAAGTTGAATTTTGCTAGCTTACTACAACTCTAAGAATAATCATGTCTCAACATTTTATATTGGTATCTTTTCTCACAATAGTGAGATTCATATAGAAAATGTTTTCAGCCAGCACAGAAGCGCATGCCTGTAATCCCAGTGGCTTGAAGGGTGAGGCAGGAGGATTGTGAGTTCAAAGCCAGCCTCAGCAATTTAGCGAGGCACTTAGTAACTCCTAAGACTCATCTCTAAATAAAATATAAAAATGGGCTGGGGATGTGGCTCAGTGGTTAAGCGCCCTGGGTTCAATTCAATTCCTGGTACTACTACTACTACATTATATATATATTTTCCCCCCACCCCCACCAATAAGAAACAGAAAAGGGCTGGAGGTATTGCTCAGTTGATAAAAGTGCTTGCCTAGCAGGCACAAGGCCCTAGGTTTGATCCCCAAAACTGTGAAGAAACAGAGAGAGAGAAAGAACAAAATCACATGAAGATCAACTGTATACTTTAGAGATGTGGAATAAAAAAAGAAGTTTCCTTATTTTTCATGTGTATTATTTCTACATTAAATAACATGATAGTATCATTTGCCCTATAATGAGAGTGATAAAATTTGAAGTGTAAACAATCTCCAATGAATATAAACTCTATTACCTTGATTTTTTAATGTGTCCATTAAAGTCTGAGTGATGTTTCTAAGGCAGGAAAATGGTAAACGTTCACTTGCCAAAATGCCTTCCAAGGCCTAGAAGAAAGATATTGAACAATTCTAATAATTATAAGACATTTTTAAAAGTTTTATATTTATATTTATGCACCTAAATTTTCACTATCCCAAATTTCCAAGGGAAGCTTCATATTTAAGTTGCTGTAGTAAACATACTTAAGAATTAAAGGTGAGGGCTGGGGTTGTAAGCTCAGTAGTGGAGCACCTGCCTAGCATGTGGTGAGGCACTGGGTTCAATCCTTGGCACCAATAAAAGTAACTAAATAAAATAAAGGTATTGTGCCCATCTACAATTAAAAATATTTTTTTAGAAAAAGAATCAAAGGCACATCATAAATAACATGTAATCAACTTCATATCATGTCTCATATGGTATAATGACAAAAAAGTTCAGGGTGAGAATAAAACAACCAGAAGGCAAGTGCTGATCAACAGAATGGCCAAGACAAACAGAAACAGAGACAAAGCCATTCATCAACAAGAAGAGTCTGAGCAAGCCTCTACTATACAGGCATAAATAAAAAGAGGTTACTGTCATGCCGATAATAAAAGCTGACAATTTAGTTATAGCTTAACTACTGCATATGTACAGGTGAATCTAAAGGCCAAGCTAGATGGATATAGTATCCACGCTCTGCTCATCTCTCACAATATATAATTTGTTTATTAAGTCACCAACCCTCTAATATACTTGAGTCTTCTTTCCCCAGTTCCAAAATATCTCATGCCTAATGTAGCAAACATCAGAAACATTGATGGGTTACACACAGAAGTTAAAAGTTCATATCGTTTACATCAATTTAATATGTTCATTAATTTAAATTGATGATACTAATTTAAAAAGTGGACGAAGAATGTAGCATGAGACAAATACCACATTATAACACAATAACTTTCATGTTTGTGAAAGAGAAATGGGGTGGCTCACAATATTGTTAGGCCTATGACGGGACAATTAATTACCTGAAGAACAGAAAGAAAGTGACTGAAAGAGGCAAGAACACAGGAAAAATGTAATCTGTCTCTGTTCTGCTTACAAGTGCACATGTGAGAATCTGGCTTGCTTTCTCCCTGCTTACTGTAGTCAGTCTCCCAAAATCAAAACTGAATTCTTCTCTCCCTCAAATGTCATAAGAAAATAAGACAACTTTTGCTATTGGGTTTTCCAGCATTTATAATAAAACCCACAGCTTCATACATGATGTAGGAGTACAGTTTTAAAACATACACACACACACACACACACACACATATACACCCCAAAGAACAAACCAAACAACCAAGAGGATAACCAGCACTATGCTGAAGTTCCCTAATTCTGTTTTTCCATGATGTAAGATAAGAATGATGGCATCAAAGTAGGAAGATTTGTTGGGGTTATGACCCTCTCCATGGTTCCCTAAACTGCCTTTGTAGACATCCTCCTTGTCATCATACTGTGTCATCTTTAATAATTGAAATTTGCCCCAAGAAAAATGAAAGCCAATTAACAGTCAATGGAATGGAAACTGGGATTACAAGATACAGTAAAAAGTGCTTTTAAAAATGACCACAACAAAAATCACTATTCATTAAACTCTTCTAGTAGATAGCTGTAAAATAAGAAATACACATATTAGTCTCTACCCAGAGTCCCTGGCATAAAGCTTTTAAAACCCATGTAATTTTCTGAGTGACAGGGGTTACACCCTTCCCATATGCTATGCCTTATGCATCTCTTCCAACTGATTGTTAATCTGTATCTTTTGTAATATCCTTTAATATACATGGATAAAAATAAGGAAAAGGTTTTCCTGAGATCTATGAGCTGCTCTAGCAAATTAATTGAACCTGAGGAGCAGACACAGTCAGAAGTATAAGTGATAGTCTAAAGACATCTACTATGTGTGACCAGTGTCTAAAGTGGCAGGAAGTCCTGTGGGACTGAGCCCTCAACCTGTGAGATCTGACTTTCTTTCTAGGCAGACAGAGTGAACTGAATTAGAGTTCACATTGGTCAGAGTGGGGGGAAATTCCCATATTATGGGATTTGGAGAAGTCTGATTAGTGGAAGAAGTATCAAGTAACATCTAAGAGAATAGGAAAAAACACTGATTTTTTTCTTATATTTTCACAGTAGCATTATCTGAAATGCTGTGAATTATAAAAAGGAAATATTTAGTAAGGTTCCTATTTGAAGGCACTTTAAAAAAGTATAAAGAGGAAAAAGCTGGGAAACTTATAAAGTAAGTAGAAAATGTAGTCTAAAGATGAACTATATGGCTCTAATTAAAAGTCAAGGAGAGCTGGATGCAGAAGTACCTCCATATAATCCTGGCGACTCAAGACGCTAAGGCAGGAGGATAGCAAGTTTGCGGCCAACCTTGGCAACTTAGCAAGGTCCTAAGCAACTTAATGAGACACTATCTCTAAATAAAATACATAAAATGGCTGGGGAGTGGCTCAGTGGTTAAGTGCCCCTGAGTTCAATCTCCCATATCAAAAAATAAAAAGGTTACCATAGCTCAATGGTAAAGTGTCCATGAGTTCAATCTCTAGACCAAAAAAAAAAAAAAAAAAAAAAGTAGAGGAAGAATTCAGGGTTACTTGTGGGGATTTAAGTGTCACACAAGAAATTATAAAGTCAGTACATGAGCTCAATTATGAGGGGTTTATGAGGAGGAGTGGGAGTAAATGTTACAATCAGTAACCATATTACAACCACCAGCCTAGCAAAAGGCAACATGACCGAGATAATATCATGAGGCTGTGGAGCACAGGGACTCTCCCACTGTATAAATGAAATTATGAATTAGTACAGCTATTTTGAGAAACAATTTTTTATCATCTAGTACAGCTGAGAAAGCTCATAACCCAGCAATTCCAATCTCAGGTATAAACTCCTATATGTGTCCACCAAGAAACATATACAAGGATAAGCATGGCATTACTGTTTGTGATAGTAAAAAATTGGGAACAACCTAAATGTTCACTGGAAAGAGGGAATAAATAACTTAAGAGTCACAGAGTAGAATTCATATGGTATAGAAACAAATCAACAATCACTATATCTACAGTTCCATGCATCATATGATGACTCACAAAAACAACATTCAAAGAAAAACAAGACAGAGAAGACAGAGCATGCCTCCATTTCTATAGTTTAAAGAGAGAAAATGCACCAAGAGGTTTCAAAGAAGTCATAAAGAAATGATGCAACTAAAAAGAGCAAAAGAGAAACACAAAATTCTGAATAGCAGTTACCTTAGGAATTAAGGGGATGGGATTGAGGAGAAGCGCATGGGGCTCTTTAGAATTCCTGGTAAAATTCTATTTCCTACAGTGGATCAGACACGTGTGCTTATTTTACTATTTGTCTTTAATCCAAGCATATTATGTATGAATATGTGGCTACATAAGATCCATGCATTCAAGGGTATGGAAATACTTACATTTTTATAAAAGAGAGAGACCACAGAAATGTCCACATAAACTTATAAGAAGTGATAAACATGAATAAAAACATGAAGACTTTATCCTGTCATATTTGGAAGGAAACCAGAAAATAAAGATTTTCTTAATATAAACATGGATGTGTAACCAATGTGATTCTGCAATCTGTACACGTGGTAAAAATGGGAGTTCATAACCCACTTGAATCAAATGCATGAAATATGATATGTCAAGAGCATTGTAATGTTTTGAACAACCAATAAATAAATAAAAAAAGAGTGATACACAATTACCCTGTGTCAGGAAAAGTTCATATGTGATATACACTTACTTGTTTTTTGGTTGCAGGGTACTTAATATCAAGAATTAACTCCTTTATTTCTGTTTCAACCAAATCTATAATGAGAAAATCAAAGTAGAATTTTCACTTTTTATTACAGTGAAATATTTATCTGAAAGAAAATGAACATTGAACACATTTGTACCATAGTCAGTCTAAAGAATTTTGGGGTTCTCTCACACTATTGTTATAAATTTTAACATCTCCTAGATGGCACACTTCATCCTTATAGAGCATCTCCAATAAAAAGAACAGGAGATTACAGGCACTCTCACCTCATTCTGAAAAGCAGTTGAGATAGCTCATCAATGCAGTTAAACATTTTGATTGCTCCATTCTGAATATTTATTAATTTAAAAAAATAACAAAACAGTTTACTTCATTATTTTGATTGAAGGATACCTACCAAGATTGGGAGATTTTGTTTTCAATAAGGCTGCTAGTTTCTTTACTAAGTGCATGTCCTTGGCTCGTTCACTCTTCTTATCACTAAAATAATAAACACAACAACTTCTTACAGAATATGAATTGTTTTCTTTCTATTCCTGATATACTCTCTCTTTTTTCTTTACATGCTTCCTATTTAAAGATATGAGTCTAATGATGGAAAAAACACACTAACTATAAAACAAAGCACAAGCTAAGGAACTTGTAAAAATTTACAGAGAAAAATCAATCAGCAGACACTCAGCAGATCTTACCTCAGTGCCAAATGGAAAGGAACATTCACCGTTTTCACACTTCCAGACACAGGGTCAACGAGACAGATTTGGTAAGTCTGCGGCTGCCAACTTTGACTGGTAACGTTATTTAAACCCATTATTTTGTAGCCAGGATACAGCAGCCTAAAGAAATCATATAAACAATGTGGCAGAAATGTTAGAAAAAGGAGAAATGACAAAAAGTACTTTTACTATAGCTAGGGAACTCTACAGTATCATCAATTCAGGAGCACTAATAAGGCAAGTAAATACTGGTATCAAAAACATAAGTAAAGCAGGACTTGACTGGCAGTTATACCTTGTAAAAGGTACTATAAAACTAAATGAATACAGTCAGCCATATGTGTTAATGTTCACCTTGCTTATGATCATCACTAGGAAAATCTGAAGGAACCTTTCCTTTTGGGCTTCACAGTGTAAGTAAAGGGCAAATGGCTCCATCAAGCTAACTTTCAACTCAGTAGCCTATCATGGTATTTTCAATAATATTTGCTATTAAATATGTCATATTTAATTATATACCAGACACAGAAAAAAACAAAGTAAAGAACATTACAATTCTCAAACAATTTGTAATCTAGTAAGTAGCTTTAATCTAATAAAAGCTTTACTTTAATAAAAGTATTCTTATATTTCTTTTTATAGTTGACAAAATGCCAGGGCTTGTAGCTTACCTGCAGTGCTTTCCCACGTTGAAAGCTCCTACTCTAGGTCCCTGCTGTGTGCTCCACACTTCTAAAATTCCCCTTCTTGGTGCATAGATGACAAGGAACTGAGCTACTCTACTGGGACCCTGATTATTTCCAAAGGGGGAAAAGTCCACCTTTTCTGGGACTCTTTCATGGAGATCCTCTACAATTTGAATCCATCCAATTTGTGCATCTCGGTACCCTTGGAGACAGAGGGAAAGAGAAACTAGTTAATTAATCCAGGTTCAGTAACATCTGGAATACTGGAGGGAAAGGGCGGGTGTTAAAAAAAAGCTATAGAAGCACATTATAATTTTATTATGAAATATCTTAAACAGGAAAAATAAATATAATAATCTATCACTGAGTCTTATCAAATTTTAATATTTTGCTAGCTATATTTGCTTCAGATCACTTTTTTTTCTTTAAAAAGAAAATATTATAGCTAACACTGAAGCTTCCTGATCAACACTATACCCTGCTGGATTCCATTTCCTTCCTTCCTTTTCTTTAAAAGATTCCCTCCTTTAAAAAATATTCTGGGGAGGGCTGGGGTTGTGACTCAGATTCAGAGTGCTTGTCTCACACATGTGAGGCACTGGGTTCAATCCTCAGCACCACATAAAAATAAATAAACAAAATAAAAATATTGTGTCTATCTATAACTAAAAAAACATTTAAAAATATTCTAGGGACATTACTAGGTTGGGCTTCAAAATAAAATAAAAGCCTAATTAAAAGATAAACAAAAGATCAAACTGATTTCCTGCTATTCAAGAATCTTGGTGGTACACAGGCAAAGGGAAAGCATGACTACAGAGGTGATATGAGGGAAATGTGAGAGGAAAGCAGCAAATAGTGCTCTCTTCCATTATGGGTGGCCCATCTCAAAGGCCAGCACACAATGGAAAGGAAAACTGACTGCAACAGCTATGAGGAAAGACAGGCAACAATGCCAGCAATGAGCTCGCCATAGTGGATCTGGGCCATTTGGCATGTCTACGTCTTCTATGGCTAGACAAATCTTGCTGAGAACACAACTCTGATGTTTCAGGACAGAAATGAAATATTTTTAACAATGAAACTTATTTCTACAGATATTGAAACATATGGCAGGTAAAGACTGCCTCTGCCCATCACTGCAAGAGTACTTTGGCAAGAAAGTGATAGTGGGCCTCAGTCTAGTCCAAATAATATTAATGTCTTCAAATCAATTATTCCTCACATTGTTAAGTATAGACAAGATTGTACCATAACTGTGGTTTCCAACCAGTGTTCTTTGCAGACACGTTACTATTCCAGATGACTCTAAACAATGGATTATCCACTTCTTCCTTAGTCAAATTTCATTTTATTCAGACTGACAGTGTACTCAGTTAAAAGATATTTTTAAGTATCCCTTACAGTTAGGTGTGACCACGTCACTAATGAATTATAGATAAAGATTGGAGAGATTCTGGGGGACTATTTTCAAAGTAGACTGACTCAGTTGGCAGGAGCATCCTTCTTCTCTTCTCCCTCTTCTTTTCTAGAATGCAAAGAAGGAGGCTGGCAGAAAGAACCCTGAGTGGGGAAGCTACATAAAGGAGACTAGCTTCCTGAATATATATATCATATTGATTATGTCATATCAACATATGAATAGCTGAATGAAACTGACATAGTTATTGATAAATTAAGTGGCCTGACCTAAACATACATATACAAAAGTCAAGTTAGTGAAGATGGATTTGCCAAGTTTTAGTCTTTTAAACCTAAATGACGTGGTGAGAACCTTTGGCTGAAGAGTGGTCTTGGGAAGGAAAATGAATGTAGCAAGGGTGAAAAACTTAATTCTGAATTCAGAAATTGACAATGACAGAACTGAAAGAAAGTGCACAAGGCAAAAATTAAAAGCACTTATGAGGTGATCAAACTTAAAATATATCTCAATTGATTGATCTGATTTCATATTAAAAAGAGAAAATAAAAACAACAGATTAAATGCTGTTATCAACCAAAAGCTGAAGGACGATAAATGCTGCTCAACTCTTGCAATGAAAAGTTAATTAAGTTTTTTTCTGGATTTTTGTAAGAAAGTAAGTACCTTTCCACATGCGTATTGCAATTCCTCTTGCTACATCTAATAAAATAACTCTGCCAAAATCATCTGTTACTGCTGCCAGTGTGTTACATGGAGACAGACATATACTTTCACCGTGGCGTCTAGAATCTGGAAGTCCAAATCTGTTATTTAAAAGTAAATATAAAGCTCAAATCACATTCCAATCTGGAAACATATAAGAAAATACTGAACAAAAGACTGTATCTGTTTTTACATAAAGAAATATGAACGTAGTTCTGAATTGAGAGATATTTTATTAATTAGTCACATCTGGCATTTGCAATAAAAAATACACAAAAGAAATAAAATAAAAATATAATCCTATGTAGGTTTTCTATAGAGATATCCACAACTTCATATTTTTAGAAAATATCAAGTGTAAGTTTATCCTTCCTTCCTGGGTGCAGTGGTGCACGTCTATGATCCTAGAAACTTGGGAGGCTGAGGAAGGACTAAATTTGAGACCAGCCTAGGCAACTTAGCATGGCCCTCAGCAACTTATCCAGACTTTGTCTCAAAATAATTTAAAAAAAAAAAGGCTGGGAATGTGGCTCAACAGTACAGCACCCTGGGTTAAATCCCAAGTACCCTATCCCAACCCCCAAAAAGTTCATCCTTCCTTGATTAAGAAGCAAGTCAAAGAAAACAATACCCTTACAACCAACTAAATATTATAATGCTTGCTCCTACACATCTTTTGTCTATTTTAAGTTCTTTTTTTAAAAATTTTCAATTCTTGTTAAAGTCCTAATCTGTTTTCTTTTTTGCTAGAGCATATTTTGTTGACACCAATATATCTGCCTGTAGCAAGAACTTTCCTTTTTCTAAAGAGTTATCACTAAATTGCTATTGGTCTATTATCAATCTTATTAGAACTATGGAGTAAAATAAGAGAGATAATGAAAAAGGACCGGGAAAGTTACTTCCAGATAAAGTACCTGAAACAAAGTGCTCAAACACTGTTATATCTATCTGAGATATATAGGGTCACATGGGTAATTTCTTGATTGTTGAGTCAATTCATGAAAGTCAATAAATTACAGCACAGTATTTTAAAATGAGATGAAAAAGTCACAGAAGATAGACTTCAATAAATTTTACTGACAATTAATTAGTTGGCTTTCTTTAAAAAAGAAGGGATGGGTTCTATTTCCTTTTATGGTGGTACTTTATATTAGGTAATAAGAAATGATTTAAAAATAAAAACAAGCAAAAATCTTGCTCCCCCACCTCCTGCAAAAACAAACAATACAAACAAAAAAATCAAAACACCCTCACAAATACACTAACACATCCTAAAGCATTATTAAAATAAACACAGAAGCACAACCCACTACTCTGAACAGTGCTTAAACACTCAGAACTCCTGCTTTTATTAAAAAAAAGAAAAAGAAAAATCACTAAGTACTTTTTAGCTATCACTTAACTTATTTTCCAACAACTTAAACTAAGTTTGTAGATGTCTGTTAAAAAGCATACTCAGCAAATACATTTTGAGCACCTGCTGTATAAGAGGGAGAAGGTGTGAACAAAATAGGCAAGAATCACTCTTCTTAAGGAGTTTACATTCTAGTGTGTATGGAGGCCGCAGGTGAACCCATCCTAAGTATTTTCAGAAGCTCCAAAGACTCATGAAATCAACAAATCAACTCAGTGTACTGAAAGATCATAAATAAGTATAACAGTTATTTCTTCTTTCCTTCTTTTTTCCCCCCCCCCTTTGGTACCAGGGATTGAACCCAGGGTGCTTACTCACTGAGCCACTTCCCCAGGCCTTTCTATTTTTTATTCTGAGACAGGGTCTCACTAAGTTACATGTCAAATCCTCCTGCCTCAGACTCCCAAGTGGCTAAGATTACAGGTATAAGCCACCACTCCCAGCCATAACAGTCGTTTCTAAAAATACCAAAAGTGACAAGCATGGCAGACTTGCCTTACAGCTAAAGGGGTAGCTGGCTCCACCTTTGGCTTCTGCTTTTGGACAGCTTCTTCTTCATGCTTACTTTTCCAACCAAGCCAACCACTGAAAAGAAAGAAAATTTAAAATAAAACCAGAGCTTCAAGAATTCTAAAAGATAAAATAAAAATTAAATTAAAAAAAAAGAATTCTAAAGTGCAGACAATCAAAATATAAGGTAAAACTAAGTTACACATAAATTAAAAATTGTTATTTAATTACCTGGCAGCATTAAATAAAGCAGAAGTGAGTTTACTTGCAACTGCTAGTGCAACATGGGATAATAATGGTTGTGTGCTTCCCTGAAAGAGAGGACATTTAAATGAGAAAACTCAGCAGCTTACAAAGAAACAAAACCTACCTTCTAAATAAGAATTTAGAATGCTCTGAAAAGATGTAATTCCTGAACTAGTAGCTCACCTTCTTTCAGACAGTAAAAACTTTATTTTAGAAGCAAAAATAAAATCACTAGTAGTCTATTTTACCTTTAGGATTTCTCTCATTGAATTGTAACTTAAAGTAAATGTTAAATTAAGACACGAAGACAACATTATTCTAGCTGAGCTATGGATTTTCCATCTATACACAACTGGCTCTTTGCCCTATTTTTCTCTTTTCTTTTTAAAATAAATTTGTATAAAGTAAAAAGATAATTTGGACAATTTTGAGAGGACTGCTTTTTAAGTGAGAAATAAGAGCTGCCAAATTTAACACCTAATTTTCCCATATTTTAGGAAGCATTTTTGCCACTTCTATCAGCAATTTATTCTGTTTTTACAATTCCTCATTTATTCAAATCCCTGGTGGGCTGACATAATTAACAACCCTGAGCTTCTGGCTATTGCACCAATATTTAAAAACTGAGTTGTCAAAGAACTCAGGACTTCAGAAACAAAGAAATTTGCTTTACCTTATTTATTCTATTTTACCTTTTTAGTTAATCTAAAGAATTTAGAAGAAATGTAGTTCTGATTAATTTTAGCTTCAACTGAAAATTAAAAATGTAAACTGCTTAGGGACTGAGGCTGTAGCTCAGTAGTAGAGCACTTGCCTCGCACACGTGAGGCACTGGGTTTGATCCTCAGCACCACATAAAAATAAAGAAATAAAGATATTGTGTCCTTCTATGAATAAAAATTTTTTTAAAGTGAACTGCTTAATCTTTCTAAAGCTATGTTACCATATCCAATTTTTAAACAAGTTGAAAAAATTAAGAGTGGCCTTACTCATGATTAGTAATGAAACTCATACCTCTAGAGCATAGAAGAAGCCAGTAAATGGATTGGACCCTACAGTGATATACTGAGACATGGCAGGTGGACTGTTTTTAATTGTCGCATTAAATCCACCTATATTGGAAGCAGTCTTCATTTGATCAAAAGGGGACAGAGTCATAATACCTAATGATACAAAAACAAAAGGAAAAAAAACCACATGATTTGAATGCCTTGAAAAGGCACTATCATTTTAGGTCACTACAATTTCACTTTTATTTTGAAATGCTGAATGTTTGGTTTTACTTAACAGATAAAAGTCATTTTTTAAATTATAAAATCAACATTAGAAAATGCTCAAATATTAAAATTCTCATCCATAATTTCTCCAGCCTATAAAATATTACAAAACCATGATTTAAATATTAACATTTTGAAAATAGATATAAACTTGAAAGGTAGAAGGAATATACATCTATATCCCCAGGTTCACTTCTTAGAGGCAACAACTGATAAGTTCATTATGCTACCTTCTGGAAGTATTGCATATACACAAATAACTGCATACCAAATAAACTGATGTGTGCCTTGCTTTTTTTTTTATTTGATAAAATTTCAAGGAGATGTATTTCATTCTTCTTACTCTTAGTATTCCCTCTATGAACATACCATAATTGATTTAACCTATTAATAAATATTTAGGTTGTTACCCACTTTTTGGTACTACAAAGAAAGCTGCAATATATCTCCTTAATGTGTCTTTGCACACCTATTAAAATTATCTGTATAGTAAATTCCTATAAACAGAAGTGCAAAGTCAAAGGAGATCTGCATTTTTTAAATTATTTTTTTATTTATATATGACAGTGGAATGCATTACAATTCTTATTACACAAATAGAGCACAATTTTTCATATCTCTGGTTGTATACAAAGTATATTCACACCAATTCATGTATTTATATATGTACTTTGAATAATAATGTCCATCACATTCCACAATCATTTTTTATCCTATACCCCTAAATGTGGCCTATATACACAATGGAATATTACTCAGCAATAAAAGAGAATAAAATCATGGCATTTGCAGGTAAAGAGAAGATAATGCTAAGTAAAGTTAGCCAATCCCCAAAAAACAAATGCTGAATGTTTTCTCTGATATAAGAAGGCTGATTCATAGTGGGGTAGGGAGGGGTAGCATGAAAGGAATAGACGAACTCTAGTAGGGCAGAGGGGTGGGACAGGAAAGGGATCTATATTTTAAAAATTTTACTAAGTATTCTCATACTGCATTCCAGAGGTGGTGATAATTTACACTTCCTCCAAAAACTGCAAGAGAGTACGTATGTTAACAGTAAAAATGCACTCTTAAACATCTACTTTGTAATCTGTGAATCCTGTTATAATGAAGAGCTATTTTTCATTTCCCCAAGGCTTTAAGAGCAAAAGTAGATAGCTTGAATGCTGATATTCACATGCCTGTGAATAGTAGAGGAAAAACCTGTATCATTTAAACTCACCTGGGTGGCAGAGAGAGAAATGGGGAAATGTGAGATTAGGCATGTGGGAAGTATCCCTCTGCTGTTAGATTCTAACATATGTGGACTTAGGCAATATCTCAAACTTGGGCACTCACACAGTACAAGGAAACAGCGTGTTGAGAGGAACTGCACTCAAATGTATCATAGAATGCAAAAAGAATTATTGTCCCATTTTCTGTTGTTCCACATACTGATTTTCATATATAGAAACTACTTCTAAATGGCCCTGTCAAAAAGTACACTGTTCTTAAAGAGGAATTCTGGGAAGGGAAATTCTTTTAGTAAGTTCATATGCAAACCATTCACTAAATCTAGGCATCTAGGGATTAAATAAATCCTTGTGAACACTGGACTATTCTAAAAAGTCAGAGTCTCACATTCATGAATGAATTCGAGATTTAACATATAAAGATAAAATTTGTAGAATAGATCAAAGGATGAAATGATGGTATATAGATTGAAATTTAAAGTTTAAAAGAGCTTTTGTTCATATTCCCATACAATACAGGTGGAGGATATAAATGGCTACAGGATATCCAGCAGACAATTTAGCAATATATACCAAATGTATTAAAGGAATTGATTCTAATTTATTCTAAAGAAATAGCCGATTTTTTTTCCTATTCTTACCACTAATGATATTTTCCTTCCCACAACTTAAGTCATCCCCTTTCAATGCATCCCCTTTCAATACTTTAGATTCTATTATCAATGGGACATTCCTTGTAACCATGATTTTAAGCATACCACTTTTTGACTGCCTAGCTTTGCATCTTGATTACCTGAGTAAACCCTTGCAATAATCTCACAAATTTGTCTAGTTTCAATTTATCAATCCCACTATTTTCAAGCAACTATTAAGCTTACTTCCCTTCTCTTCCAGCTTAAATTTGTATTCTAAAAAAAATCACTCTCTTGAAATTATCCACAATCCGTTGTATCCATCTCCCTCTACACACTCAACTGGTTAAATCTTAACACAGGTTGACCTCAATCTTCTGCCATTCTTTTGAAGAAAAGTAGTTTGATCAATGTCAGAGAAAAATAATACATCTGGGTTTCAAAGTAAGACCCTCAAAAAAAAAAAAAAAAAGGTCAAATAACACCTAGATCCCACTGTTGTGCTTAATTCCTCCCCCACTCCTAATCTTTTAAAATCTGTTTAAAAAAAACAACAAGCTTTTTGACACTAATTCCCCTTTCTAGATTTTGTTGTCCACATCCTGTATTATTATTTAACTTGTTCATCTACCCTACATACGCTACATATTGTTACACAGTGGTAGTTGAATGTAGATGACTTGTCTTTTATCACCAATTTTAGCATTCCTTTTCATGGATTAAAGGTAATATAGCCTATTATATCTCCCCTCCTTCTATCCTTCCAATATATCTGTATCTTCATTTTTTATTAAATCCACATTCAGTTTTTATTAAAATGACATAAATATTACTCATTAGTGAGACAAACTATCTTTTATAATTACATTTCCTTAGCTATCTTCCTCCCTCCCTCCCTCCCCTCCCCTCCCTCCCTCCTGGAGTTATTATTACCTTGTCATTTAGGGTATTCCCTGAACATCTAAGATTTTGAAACACATTAAAATTTGAAACACATTGAACACATTAAAATTCCCCTCAATATAAATTTCCATAAAGTCAATCTCATGGAATACTTTTCTAGGTCTCATAGTGGCAAATCTCTTTGACAAAGTGATTATGACCAGAGACATGAGTGAAATGAGAAAGAAGGCCCAATGTTTAGTAGTATAAAGATTTCCAGGCAGAGTGAGCAGTAAGTGTAACTTCTCTGAAATGAGAAGATAAATTGGTATATCTGAGGAACAAGGTCAGCATGCTGGAAAACAGTGAGAGAAGGGGTGTGGGAGGACCACAAGCCACAAGAGTTCAGGCCTTATCTACCAATGTAAGAAGCACCCAGAAGAGAGATGATATGGAAGAGGAGGAGGAAAAAAGAACGAGCTGGTTTGATGGAAGGAAATCAGAAAGGCGACTTTGGACATTAAGTCTGAATAAGTGGAAGTGTTCAGAAGCGAGTTGGAAAAATACAAAGCTCAAGGAAGAGATCAGGATTGGAGATAAAAATGGAGATGCTATGATTTTATGTATTGTTTGTAATTTTTTAAAAAAGGGAAAGGAAATATTTATTCTTAAACCTAAACCTAACCTAAATATTTATTCCTAAACCTAAACCTAACCTAACCTGGCTTTCATCCTTACCATTCACCTCATCTGCTTTTATTAAGAGTCAATAAATGGATCTATGTTGTCAAAACCCATGGATCTTTCTTTCTTTCTATCTTTCTCTCTCTCTCTCTCTCTCTCTCTCTCTCTCTCTCTCTCTCTCTCTCTCTCTCTCTTTCTATGAAGCATTCCACAGCTAACCACTCCCCTCCCTCCCCAATTTATATCTAAAATCTCAACTGCCTTTCTTCCCATTTGTCTACTTGATACCTGTATTTGAATGTATAGTAGTGTCACAAGCTAAACCTAACATAAATCTCTTCCTCCTCCTTTTTCTCATTTCACTGAGGAGTCTAATCATCCACTCATTGTCTGAGCAATTTTCAAACAGCTCAAACTTAAAAATTAATACATCCTTGATTTTTTCCCTGTTGTCTTATTTTTAAAACTCATATCTTAACAAGTGAAAATATATCCCATACCTCTCCCTCTCTCCAACTCTTCTGCCTCCACCCTAGGCCTCATTTTTTCTTGCCTGAATTACTGCAGTACCCCTAACTGGTCTCCTTGCTTCCTTCTCCAGCCTGCTCACTAAACAGCACCCAAAGAGATATTTTAAATTATAAACCCCTACTTGTAATTTTTGAAAAAAAGGGAATAAAAATATTTGGAGTCCATCAGTGTTTCCTACTGCATTTAGAATAAAATTGACCTCCTTATCTCTATGAGAACTGACATCTCTAACCTAAATTTCTCCTGTTCCTGCTCACTGTTAGCAGTCAAGTCCCATTGACCTTCCTTCTGTTTCTTCAATACTGTGTGGTCTTCAAGGACCCCAGGCCTATATTCCTGCTGCTGCATCTTCCCCAAATCCTCTTCTGACAGCTTTTCCCACAGCTGACTCCCTCTCACCCGTCAAGTCTCAGTCTGTGTATCTTCCCTAGAGAGGCCTTTCCTTGCCAATCTACCTAAAGTACTCTTTCTTTACTATCATAACCTGCTTATTTTCTTCATGATGCCTACTAGTTATTTGACAACACTGCACTCATTCAGTTTAACTGTTTATGGTTTGTCTCTCCATCACCAGAATTTGGACTTCATCAGGACAGGGGCCAGTAAGTCTTTTATTTCTATTATCCATATTAGTCTCTTGGAAATAACAGGTATTTATTTGTTGAATAACTTAATTAGACCTTTACATAATGACATACATAAAATTTACTGCATCTTTTGTTCTTCCATTTGTAGGCTGGGGATAAATGAATAGAATAACATTTTCTATCCAATCATTTCCCCTAGCCAGTTTCAATGTTCCAAAGTTTAATTAACAGAACAGGGAAGATACCCTGAACTGAACTCAACACTTTGGAATTTTTATATTAGCATTTTTATGTTAGCAAAGGGTAAAGACACACTGAAATGTTCACCAGTGTTTATTACAGAATATTACACACAAGAACTGTGTAGCAAGTAGAATAAGAGGAACTATATTTCAGATACCTTTTGTTAGCCTCTCTAGATTCAAACTCCTTCCTTTTCTCCTTCCTTCTTCCTGCTCTCTCTCTTCTGGCCAGGGGTCAATTTTTATAAATAATGCTGACTTCCAATTTAATCAGACAATGGGAAGCCCCATTACCATTAGGAGATTAAAAAGAGAAAGGAAAATAAAATCAGGAAATCCATTTCCCTGGCTCCCTCTCCGAAAACTGGCTATGACTCTTGAGCAAAAGTCATCCTGCTTTCCAAGCACTGATTTCTACCACTATCTTATATGTTCTGAAACTGCTTCCTGCTCTTTTCCCTCTAGACAGACCGGTGGCTAACAGCTTGGCTGCTAAAATACCTTGGGATACTGAACTATCCCTGTGGTTCTGTACACCACATCGTTCTATTCCTAGTTTCTCTGCAAATAAACCTTCTTTCAATTATATTATTTCAAGTGTGCCATTTGTTCTCTATTAGGATTCTGGCTGATAAGATGTATACTTAGCAAAATTGATATGAAAGGTCCTTTGTGATGCATTAATTGGAAAAGGTTTATAGTGTAGTTGGTATGATATAATCCTCTTTATAAAAACATATCTCTGCACATGACCATATGTATATTACACAATGTATTTATACACACACACACACAAGAAAGTCTATAAAGATGGTTATCAAAACACCAATGTTAAGTATCTCTGGGTAGTTGGATCTAAGATTTTTTTCCTTTTCTCTTTATGTATTTGTATATGAATTTTTAACAAGCACATATGCACTAAAAGAAAAAATACAAATATATTTTTAAATAGTAGCTTTTTCTCCACCCCCATTATTACTGTATTAATTCAGAAACCCATTACTTTTCAGTTTCTTTACTAGTCTTGACCCCTCCATTCCAGCCTCTAAACTGCCACCAATGTGATTTCTCTAATGGGCCAATGTGATAATGTTATTCTTTTGCTTAGAATTCTTAGATAACTCTCAATGTAGCTAGGAAAAAGCTCTAAGTGAAAAAAAAAAAATTAGATATTCTCTGCATAGTATATTATGCCCTTCAAAAATCTGACTCCTCTCTACATATCTGGCTTAGTTATCCTAGGCTCTCATTGTTTCCCCAGCACAGTATGCTCTTTGACCCCCTCTACCTATGTGCATTTGGCTAGAACGCCTCTTTAGGGTTTGCTTTCTTGGTCAAGTCCTACTCATTCTTTCAATCTCAGATTAAAGTCAGTCCTCTTCCCTGATTCCCACAATGCTAGCAGTTTTGTGCTCTGCACCCACTGTAGTTGGTCCTTTTGTCTATTATATCAAGCATTGTGTTATAATACAGCTACTATTCTCATGTGTTTCTTCCAACTAGGCTCAGGCTTCCAGACAGCAAAGACACTGACTTTTCATATCTATACTTCTGATTCCTAACACAGTAAGCCCTCAAATACTGGTTGCAAGAAGAAATCTGCTTTTACCTATAATCTTCTAATTTAAGGGCTAAAATGATAGTGGTCTTTAACTGTCACAATTAGCAATTTGAACAATTTCCTGTGAACAGGACAAACAATAAAAATAGACAAGCAAAGATATAACAATATCCAGCAGGTCATTATAACCATTTCCATGTGACTGTCACTTTCATAATCTGAATTAACTTTTATACTCAATGCCAGGTATTAGAACTTGGTGATTTCAATGCATCACCTCATTCAGCCCTCATGACAACTCCATGAAGTGCATCCCATTATCACCACCTTTTTACGAGTGGGCAAACTGAAGCATAAAGATCCCCAGTAACCTGTCCAAGGTCACATAATTATTTACCATTACCCTATGTGTGTACATGCATGCATACTCACACACTGGTCGAAATGGTTTTCCTAACAAAAATCATGTAACATTTCAACAAGGAAATTACCCATAATTTCAGTATGATACCACTTGTTATGGTTTGGATGTGAGATATCCCCCTAAACCTCTTGTGTGCAAGAGGGTTCAGAGGGGAAATGACTGGGTTGTGAGAGCCTTAACCCAATCAGTTGACTAATCCCCTGATGGCATTAACTGAGTGGAAACTGGAGGCACAAGGGGTGTGGCTTTGGGATACATGTTTGTATTTTGCAATTGGAGTTTCTCTCTCTGCTTTCTGATCATCATGTGGGCTGCTTCCCTCTACCACACTCTTCCTCCATGATGTTCAGCCTCACCTTGAGCCCTGAGGAATGGAGTCTGCTGTTCATGGATTGAGACTTCTGAAACTGTGAGTCCCTAAATAAACTTTTCCTCCTCTACAATGGTGCTGGTTGGATCTTTTAGTCAAACAGCGAAAAAGGTCACTAAAACACCATTCACAATTTCTTCGTACTTTCTTTTGGGCTATTATTCACATTTTATATAGTTGTTTAAGGGTTACATTTTCAAAAGACTGATTTATATGGTCATTATATGGACCAAAACTGTCTGTTGAAAAGTTATGTCAAAGAGTGAGTTATTCAAAACTGTCACTAAGGGCATAATTACTTTTTTTTTTTTAAACTGCTACTATTTGTTAAAGACTACGATTGGAATCTGAACTTTCAAACGTCTCATTAATGGCATGCATTTTTTCACAGAAGTATAAATGTCCATTTCTAAGAAATGAAATACTTTAATCAAAAAGTATAATAAGTAAATTCCAAAAGAATCTGAACTAGTAATGCTTACCAATACTAGCATGATCAATAATAGTGTCAATGTCTTGCAGACCCCACTTCTTATAAGCTAATGGTGGTGGTTGTATGTTCTCATTGCCTGATGCTGCAGCTGTCAGAAATAAAAATTAGTCAATTCAAACAATTATAATGGATAAAATGAAGCTTTAACAAAAACCATTAAATATACAATAACTTATTATTCTAATATTTTGACTAATAATGAAGCAAAGTAATGAAATGGCATAAAATGAGATTTATTCTCACCACAACAACACATAAAAATGCAAACACTTGAAAGACTAAGTTGGCTGTCACACAAGACAACCAAGCTTTGGAATATCTAAGTAATTAGAGAAAATGATTAAAAATCTACTGAAAATCAAGGTGAATTCATGCTGCACTTCATGCCAAGTAAACAATTATTTTCACTTGAGAAAGAGAGGAAAATCTGGGAATAGCATGTTTTGTTTTACTCACTGAAAAAATAAAAACCTGATATACTTGGCAGAGCTCACATACAGCATGGTTTCTATCTAGGTAAATAAGACTAGACTTGACAGATATGTTAATAACAAAAGCGTTGTCAGAAAAATTAACAAAATGCCAATCTTTAACCTCAGTCCTTCTACCTAATAAGTAATTAAAGGAAAAGCAACAATTAACAACCCATGCTATAAGTTCATGCACAAGGTCCCAGTTATCAGTAAATATTACACATCAGAATGCTGCTAAATTCTGACTGTTAATTCTGTGAAGAAAAGTACACTTCAACAAAAGGAAAATATAGTCCTCTAAACACTGCAGATTTGATAGGAAGGCCAACAAAAGGCAATTTTCCTAAAATCTGAAATAAATGCCACAACAATTTGTGACTAAATAATCAGAATTCTTACTAGAGCAATTTACAACAATAGAGCACTAAATGTTTAATTCCTTACTTTCTAGAAGGTGAAATTACTTTATGATCTTATACACAGTAAATAAGAATTCAAAAATGATGAGAAATTCAATGGCCAACAATACTAATTATAACATAATTGTCTATTTCTACTTTATTTCATTTTTTAAAGCAGTACTGGGTATTGAACACAGTGCCTTGTGCAGGTTAAGCAACTGCTCTGACACTGAGCTATATGCTCAGCCCCCTTTTTTAAGTTTTATTTTTTGAGACAGGGTCTCATTAAGTTGCCCAGACCAGCCTTGAAATTGCAATCCTTTCATCTCAGGCTCCCACATAGCTGAGATTACAATATGTACCACCATACCTAGATTCTAATTTATTAATAGAATTCCTACCTACAGAAAATTGCCAGACTCTTTGGGCATATATACTAATGATGACATTTTAAATGTTCTCAAAATAATGAAGATTATGGTGGATCAAATTTTAAAATTTTAGAGGTTATGAAAATAAGCAAAAAAATTAAAAATTATTCTGACCCAATAAAAATGTACATATCATTAAAAAGAACCATAAAACCAAGACTTCTGAAATTTATCAATCACAACCTGCTAAAAGAGACAAAGAAAAATTTTCTATTGCAATATAAAATGGTACATTTTTGCCCTAGAAGAAATTATTTTGCATCTTTTGGTCTGGATTTAGAAATGACTTTTATGAAGTAGCAAACATATTCTAATGAAACTGTTTTTAGGGAGTAACTTCAATCATTTAGGAGTTAAAATAAAAACGGCTAAAGCTCTTCTATCCAATCTCTAAAAGAAAGATTAAACAAGCTCTACTTCTGGTATTTTCACTGAATTTAAGACTTTTCTTCCTCATATTTTAACATCTCTAAAATTGAGAGATGTATCTTTCAATAGCATTATTTTTGTTCCTAGAGATAACAGTGCACCTTACAATCAATGGTACAATAGTGAAAAACAAGATCCTCTTCCTAAGATATAATAGCATTATAATGTAAACTGTAGGGAGAGAAAGTAAGAATTCTTTATTATTTGTGCAGTTTTCATCATATGTATGTATGTATGTATGTGTGTGTGTGTGTGTGTGTATATATATATATATATATATAAAATGTGTATGTGTATATATACATATATACATATACATATATGTATATGTATATATGCCTCTAGCTTTTTTCTATTTGTAACTATTCAAAGTTAGCGAAAAGAGGCTGATGCTGACTCTGCTGGGCCCTGCATTCTGTGGGGAAAGTGTCTCCTGCACACACTATGTCCTCAGAAAGGAAGGAAATAATGTAGAATCACAGGATTATAGTGTATTGGCCCTAAAGCTGCTGACCTACTGAGAAATTTGCCAGATGCAACCAAATTCCTGACCCAATGCTGATTGTAATACAGGGCAAATCTTTCTCCTAACTAAGATATGTTGCTGGGTCAGTGAAGAAAGCCTACTATTCCTGTGCTGGCCATTCTCCACTGCCTCCAGAGAACACCGTTCAGTCCTTGACTTAATCTTTCTAAGCTCTCTACCTATCAGTGCACTCCATAACTAGAGAAGCAGGCTTTTCCTTAAATCAAAATACAAAGTCGTTTTTTTGTTTGTTTGTTTATTTTGTTTTCTTTTAAGAAGACATACTAATTTTGAAAGCAGCTCACATTAAATAAAGCAACATCACATTAGTTAAATATTTCTTGCCAAAAAATTACCTTTTGCTACTTGGTTTCGACAAGCACGAAGAGACTGAAAGAGGCTAAATCCATCAATAGTCACAATGGCAGCTGGATATAAGATACTCAACTCTTCATTCTATTTTAGAAATAAAAAGAACAAAATAAATTTTCTTAAATAGAAATGGAAAACGAACATGTCTAGTTAAAACCTGAATGTCATAAATAACGTAAAGCAAAAACACTTTGACTCATCAGTCAACTACCCAACACACAAAGCAACGTAAGACACAGGAATAATAAAAATAAATGGAAAATTAATTTCAGAATATCTTTTGGCCAAATACTTAAAATTCCTCTCAAATGAGCTTTTGTATATTCTGGAACATGGTCTCAGAATAGACACTAAAAAAAATATTTTCCATTTCATAAAAATTAAACATAATTACTACATAGATACAGGCAATACAGAAAGAAGAAAATGCACTTAAAATCTCAAAACATGTCCCAATGTATATTCTCAAATATATTTTTTACACATTTGCATAAAACTACCACATAGTCTTTTAAAATTTATTTATTTATTTATTTTTATTTTTAGGTTTTGGTACTGGGGATTAAAACCAGGGGCGCTTAACCACTGAGCCACATCTTCAGGCATTTTTTATATTTTATTTACAGACAGAGTCTTGCTGAGCTGCTTAGGGACTCACTAAGTTCCTGAGGCTGGCTTTTAACTCCTGATCCTTCTGCCTCAGCCTCCCAAGCTACTGGTATGACAGGCAGATGCCACCACACCGGGCTACCACATAGTCTTCTATAACAGATATTTTACTATGTAATAATATGACAATGCTATTTTCCCTTTTAATAAGTAAACAAATCATTTAATCTTTTTTTTTTTTTTTTGCCAAGGCTCCAGTTTTCCTTTTTTTTTTTTGAGATGGGTTCTCACTATGGTAACCATGGTGGCCTCAAACTCCTAAGCTCAAGCAATCCTCCAGCCTCAGCCTCCCAAGTAGCTGAAACTACAGGTGCAGGCCACTATGCCTAGCTATGTACCCAAATTTGCTTAACCAATTCTTGTTAGTGAACATTCAATTTAGCTTCCTGCTTCCACTCTCGCTGTCTATAACCCACATGCCACACAGCTACCATCATCTTCATAAGACACAGCAGATCAAACCACTCTCCTATCCTTCTTTATCCTTATGATTAACTTTGGCTTGAAGTCTACTTTATTTGATATGAGGATGGAAACCCCTGCTTGCTTCCACAGTCCATGTGAGTGGTATGTTTTTTCCGAATCTTTCACCTTCAATCTGTGGATGTCTTTTCCTAAGGGATGAGTCTCTTAGAGGCAGCATATTGTCGTGTCTTTTTTTTTTAATCCAATCTGCCAGTCTATGTCTTTTGATTGATGAATTTAGGACATTAACATACAGGGTTATTATTGAGACATGATTTGTATTCCTGATTACTTTTGTTTATTTTTAGTTTTGAACTTGACTTGGTTTCTCCTTTGATTGGTTTTTCCTTTAGTGTAATATCTCCCTTTACTGATTTTCATTGTTGTTTTTAATTTTCTCCTTATGGAATACTTTGCAGAGGATGTTCTAGAGTTCAGGCTTTCTAGTTGTTATTTTAACTTTTGTTTATCATGGAATGTTTTTATTTCATCATCAAATTTGAAGCTTAATTTTGCTGGATATAAGATTCTTGATTGACATCCATTTTCTTTCAGAGTTTGGTATATGTTGTTCCAGGAACTTCTACCTTTGAGAGTCTGGGATGAAAAATCTGCTGAAATCAGAATTGGTTTCCCCCTATATGTAATCTGAAACTTTTCTCTTATGGCTTTTAAAATTCTATTTTTATTCTGTATACCAGGCTTTTTCATTACAATGTGGTTGGTGTGGATCTGCTGTGATTTTGTATATTTGGTGTCCCATAAGCCTCCTGTATTTGATTTTCCAATTCATTCTTCATGTTTGAAAATTTTCCTGTTATTATTTCATTGAATAGATTGTCCATTCCTTTGTTTTGGAACTCTATGTCTTCCTCTATCCCAATAATTCTTAAATTTGGTCTTTTCATGTTATCCCATAATTCTTGAATGTTCTGCTTATGGTTTTCTTACCATCTTTAATGTGTGGTCAATTTTATTTTCAATATTATATATTTTGTCTTCACTGTCTTCCAAATGATCTAGTCTGTGCTCGCTTCGGCAGCACATATACCAAGTGATCTAGTCTGTTGGCAATGCTTTGTATTGTATTTTTAATTTGGTTTATTGTTTTATTTTAAGGGTTTCTGTTTGTTTTTTTTTTCCCCAGAACCTCCATCTCCTTATTGAAGTAATCTCTTTTTGCTTCTTGTATTTGCTTATGTAGCTCTTTATTGAAATTATCTTTTGCTGCCTGTATTTGTTCTCTTATATCATCCTTTGATTCGCAGAAAATCTTAATTATGTACATCCTGAACTCCTCCTCTGTCATTTATTCTGCTGTGCTGGCCATGGATTCTAATAATGCAGTATCTTGGTTTATTTGGGGCACTTTCTCCCTTTGTTTTTTCACATTGTTTGTGTGTCTTCCCTCCTAGCACTGTGGATCTGAGGCATTACAGTTTTCACCCTATAGGCTTATAGTATCCCTGCAGGGTTGTTCTCCTTTAAGGGGGAGAACAATATTAACAGATCCCAATATACAACAATATACAGCATTAAACCAAATAGCTCCTGTTGAGATGTTTACGGTTTTGCACAATGTTTACGGTTTTGCACAATGTTTACGGTTTTGCACAATATATAGAAAATTCAATTTTTATCTACAATATTAATAGTAGGTTTGCAAAAGGGTCTACAGTGTCTAATGGCAGACAAAGACCGGGGAGTAAGGTGTAGGATGAAATGTTGAGGGAGTAGGAAGTGAGGATATAGAGTTATTAGATCACAGGAAGCATGAAAGAGGAATCTAAAAAAGATGAGTAGTAGCAGAAAAAAGAGAAAAGAATCTTGGGGGAGACAAGTGGGAAGACAATAGAGAATACAGAAAACAAACAAAAATTAAGAAAAATGTAAAAATAGGAGACAAAAGAATGTACAACACAACTGTAATATACTATTCAGACATCCAGGTCCTCAGTAGCCTAATTAATGAAAACTACTTGGTTTCACAAATGTTGGAGATGTGAGAGTGGGAGGAGAGAGAGAGAAAAAAAAACCTTGAAGGAAGATACAAGGATTGTTTTTGTTGGAGATCAGTATCTTTCCTGTTTCCCTTCTCATCCAACAGGTGGGGTATCTCTACCCTCAGGTTGGTGAAGGTTATTAAGGTGGGATGGTTGGTCTTGGGGGCGGAACTCCTGAGGTGGGGTATAGCACTTGCCGGGCCCTGATGGGAGGTTGTACCATAAGGACCCTTTTGGGGGCCCGCTGGTGTGATGTGGACACCTGGTCTTATCTCCTTATATCACCTATAGACCTCATAATTCCTGGTCTCTAATTTAGTCTCTAAACTGTTTCTTACTCCCCCAATCAGGAACCTTTCTCTCCAGAGGTCTTGTGGGCTGCATTCCTGTCAAGGAGAGCTATTTTGTATTGGGCAGTTCAAGACCAAGTTTTATGAGCTATGGACCAGCCACATAGACACAAGCACTGTGCTGGGTTAGCAGAGGCCAGAGAGATGGGGGAGTTGGGGACATTAGGTACCTTGATTTTGCTTTTAAGTTCTATCCTATGTCCCAAGCTGGGAGTTTCCCCTACTAAAGATGGCGACAAAGGTGTACCAAGATGGAGGCGGCTACTTTCAGTAATGGGATGTCGGGTCGGATGGGGCCAGGCGGTGGCATTAGGTTGTGTATTCAGAGATGCAGCTCTGTGGAGAGTGCAGTGTTGTGGTTGGTGGCTGTCTCCAGACCCTATGTGGTGTCCCCAGGTGCAGGCTACCACGTGTAGGGGACTATGGCAGTGGCTGCAGTGCCCCAAAAAGGGAGGCTACTTGGGGAGTACCACATTGGTAGATGGAGGTCCACATGTGAACGGAGGCGGGAGGTTCTGAGCGTGGGCAGTGGCTGGGTGTCCTGTGTGGGAACAGGGGCCAGGAGTCCCACGCTGATGCTGAGGCCTGGAGACCTGCAATACAAGGTGCTGGGATTCCTGCGTGGGAGCAGATATTGGGGTTCTCTAATCACTCACAGAGAAACAGTATTCCCGCTACTTGAATCCCAGGTCCTAGAGCCTGCCTCTAGCCTGACATCTTGGGTCCCCTGGCAAGCTCTTAGATTATTAAGGCTCAACATATTCTCATGATTTTTGGCCAATTATAGTTCTTCTTTGGAAGTCTACCTTGCCTCTTTTCCTATTAGAGTATTAGGGTACTTGTACTTTTAAGAGAAAGTTTGGGGCCACAAGAAACAGGAGCCAGGGGTAAGGGAGCTGGCATGCCTGCTCACATGATGGTCCACTGAGCATGGTGCAGGGAAGGAGCTAGAAGAGAGAAAAGGTCCTCACCACCAGCAAGTAAACTATCTCCAAAAGCCAGAATCTTCCTGAAGAAAATACTGACATAAATGCCAAAGGCTCAAAAATACTGTGTAAAGTGTTTTTGTTATTTTTTCAAAAGCCACAGAAGTAGTTTCTTTGACATTCCAGAAATAAACCTCATTTTCTCTTGGAATCTTCCCCTGCAATGACTCAATGTTGCCCTTACAATGCATTTTTTTGCCCCCAGAATGGAGTTAAAAATCTGCACCTGTGATCTCTGATAGACCTGGAAGTATACTGTGAGGAAGCTAATAGCAAGTTTTTGATATACACATAGAAACTGATGTGTCAGATTCAGAGATACTTATGTACCATACAGAGTAACAACAAGACTTCCTTCTCTGTGTTCAATAAAAATTATTTTTCAGCTAAAAGATTATTTTTTTGTTTGTATGGCTAATCACAAGCATCTAAATATTAGTTATATTTTTTCTATCAGTTTCAAAAATGAATATCATAGACAGCCAAATTTAGAGCATTTAAAGGATCTTCACTATACAGTCAATTTGGAGAAAAATGGAAAACAGTTCTTTGTATCATTATCTTAGATTTCCAAATGCTCTTTGTTGCTGTCAACAGTTTCACTTCTATCTCCTCATGATGAATACTTAAGTCTAGACTTAAGTCTTCAGCAATACTTTTATTTTCCTATACCCTTTACTTAAGAGAATTCATTATCCATGACTTCAGCCATCATCTCCATTTTAACCTCTGTGCTTACATACTAGCTTTGCATCATTACATGATACCGGTGTCTTCATTTTGTTTCCAACCACTGCCTCAAATTCAACATGCCCAGACCACAGTTAACAACCTTTATTTATTGTCACAAGCTTCCATGGGTTGCATGTGGGTCACCACGCATCAAAGCCTAGTGGATAGAAACATCTGGTGTTTGGGGATGACCAGTGGACATTTCCTCTGGTCAACTGCCCAGGAACACTGTGAATTTTTATCCTGCTCTGCCATGTCCTACACAGCACCTGAGATGGCTAATCAACCTGCTGACTGCAAGATATCAGAAAGCAAGACCCGCCCTTGAAACCTTATCCCTGCCTTTGATGTAACCCCTTAAATAAACCATGGGAGCCATCTTTCCTTTGTCTAGTTCCAGCTCTTGTGTGGACTGGATGTATCAGGGGCTCCACTTTTATAAATATATTTATATATAAGTATATATAAATATATATTTATATTTATATATTTATCTATACTATTTGATTTTGTTTTTCATTAATCATTTTAGACTTTTAAGTTTTCAGGTGGCTTATACCCTTCTCAGCAGGTAGAATAACCCCCCAATTAGACGCTGGCTATCACCCCCATGAATTTATGGCAAAAGCAGTCACCTCTAGTTAATGGCACTTCTAAGAATGATAATCTTAGAGCTATGTTTGACTCATTTCTCTTTTTAATACACTTCATTTCTAGATAATAACCAAGTATTGTCAATTGTTCCTTCAAAATTATTTTTGTACTGATCCTTTCTTTTTTCCCATAGCAATACTACTCTTGGTTCCCAACACTCAACATCTATTATAGATAACCTAAAAAAAAAAAAAGCCAGATAACCTAGGCTTCCCAATTCCAGTCTCTAACAATTCCAATTCATTCTGAAGAAACAGTCCTTCAAAATCACTTAAATTATACCACTTCCTTTACATAAATCTTTAGGGGCTTCTCTCAACTCCTGGATCAATTCTGATTTTGACATAGCTTTCAAATTTATGCAAAATTTGGCTGCTCTCTTTATTCCAGAGGCAGTTTCTCATTATTTCCTATCATGATTTCTTTGTTGTTGCATACATGATTTTACATGTAAATCTTCCCTCATTTTTCTCTTGATTACTTGACATAGTGCCCCTGTTTCCATTTAAAATTCAAGTTAAATTCTACGCCCATTTTCAAGGCTTAATTCAAATCTCACCTCCTCAGAGAAATTTGCTCTTATTGTCCTAGTCTTAATTGAGCCCTGCCCTCAATCAAAACTTGTACAGAATTTATTTTGTCCTATAAATCAGCAATTAGGTGTATCTTTATATCACTAATTCATTCATCAGTATTAACAGATATTAATCTAGACTCTCTTACTAGATGAAATCTCTTTTATAGCTCCCATCTTTCTATCATACAATTTAAGTTCAAATATACACATAATTTGTTCACTTGAAATCTTGTGGAAGTCAAGAAATACAAAAAAGAAAAAGGCATGCTATATCTCCAGCAATTAGAGAAAAATGCAAATGAAAACTACTCTTAAGATTTCATCTCACTCCTGTCAGAATGGCAATCATCAAGAATAAAGGCAATAATAAAAGTTGGCGAGGATGTGGTACACTCATACATTGCTGGTGACTGTAAACTGGTGCAACCACTATGGAAAGCAGTATGGAGCTTCCTCAGAAAATTGAGAATGAAACCACCATTTGACCCAACTATCCCACTCCTTAGTTTATACCCAAAGGACTTAAAATCAGCATACTATAGTGACGCAGCCACATCAATTTTTATGGCAGCTCAATTCATAACAGCTAGGCTATGGAACCAACCTAGATGTCCCTCAACAGATGAATGGATAAAGAAAATGTGGTTTATATACTCAATGAAATATTACTCAGCTTTAAAGAACAGTGAAATTATGGCATTTGCCAGTAAATGGTTGGAGTTGGAGCATATCATGCTAAGCAAAATAAGCCAATCCCACAACACCAAAGGCCAAATGTTTTCTTTAATATATAGATTCTAATTCACAGTAAGGCCGGGGAGGGGAGCACTAGGGAAGAACAGTGTTACCTTAGATTAGGTAGAGGAAAGTAATGGGAGGGAAGGAGAGAAATGTGGGGATAGGAAGTTAGTAGAATGAATCAGACATTATTACTGTATGTATATATGTGACTACGTGGCCAATATGATTCTGTAACATGAAAATGAGAAATTATATCAGAAAAATGAGAAATTATATTCCATCTATGTATATAAAGGATATAAATGCATTCTACTGTCATGTATTAAATTTTAAAAATTTTTAACGAAAGAAAGGCATGCTATATATTTTTGACTATCCTTACTGCAAACCAAATAAAAGCATATTGGCTTAAGCTCTACAATTATATTTTGATTGTGAGAAAACCAAGATCTCACAAGAAACCTAGGAAGAAGTGAAAGTCTCACACTGAACAATAAATCTTCCAATAAATAGAAAAAAAACATTTTCCTCTATAAAAACTTAACAACCTTTGCTTAAAAAAAAAAAAGTTAACTACAAAGTAGCAGTACTACTAAGAACAGAACTTTTCTTTTACTATGGGTAATTTTGGATACCTAATCAAAAAACATCATAAGGTTACATATCACACTTTTGCCTTAAGTCACTATTAAAGTCAAAAAATAAGAAACTTTCTTGGCTTCTAAGTATTTTACTTTTATTATAAAGTGAAACATAATACTTCATTAAAAAATTACTGCAAGATGGGCTGGGGTTGTGGCTCAGCGGTAGAGCACTCACCTCACACGTACGGGATCCTGGGTTTGATCCCCCGCACCACATAAAAATAAATAACTGAAATAAAGGTATTATGTCCAACTACAACTAAAAAATAAACATTTTTTTAAAAATTATAGCAAGACTAGAATTCTGTAAACAGCTACAAATAGATTATCTCTCTAGAATGTGAAAGCATAGCTAACTGCCACAAGACAAAAACTTCTCTAAATTTCCATGCAAAAAGGTGGGGAGAAACTGCTTCAGAGTAATATCCCTATCACTTTGAACATCATCTTTTTTATTACCTGCTCAGTTACACCAGGATGTCGGGGGATTTCATAGGTTCTGCATTTAAGCTGAAGCACTGGATCTTCATTCAACAGCTGTGCAAGCAAGAGTACACCATTCTAGAAGGAAGCACAGAGAAGGGCTCTGCTTGTTTCCTCACCAATATACATGAACAGGTATGGCTGCCAGAGAGTATCATTTCCCCAGCAGTTTTCCATGGATATCAGGTACTCTCTTTTTAGAAGACTACAGCTTTTTTCTCTATATCATCCATAGGAAGGCCATATTGCCTATCCTGGCCTCCATCCCCATGAAGTATCAATTATACATTTATAAACATCAGGTAATAATAAAGTCACAAACTAGTATATGGGGATGCATAAAGAAATACTGCAGTCTTTTCTACCTGCTGAAAATTCAACTCACCTCAGTGTAGAAGCGTACATAACCCGAAGTAAAACCCACCACAATGCAGGTCCAGTCAGGACGCCCAGTGGAACTCCTGTTACCAATAAAATTTACAATCTTAATATCTCATGCACCAAAGTAAAGAAACACACAACTCTTATTTATCCTTACCTCTTTTGGCTTGCTAGAGGGATACAAAGAGCACTAGTTACACGTTCCCTGAAAACAAAAACAAGATTAAAATCAGATGGTTATCCAATAAACTATCAATTGTTTTTATTTTTCTAAAGTTTAATATTAAAGGGTAGTAAGTGGAAAATGAACTTTGTGGACCAGTTTTAGTTGATGCACAAGTAAAAACACAGTAAAACTCCACAATATTCATTCACAATAAAATATAACATTGTGTTCATTTGAAGTTAATAAAATACGGCGTTTTTTTACTCTGTATTGTCATGAAAACATGAAAGCAAAAACTTTGAAAGCAAAAACATGAAAGCAAAACTTTGCTTACACAAAAGACTGTATACAGAACCTAGAAGATCTCAAATGATCACCCGCAGGCACTTCCTACCATCCACTCGCCTTTCATACCAACTAAGAATTTCAACACACCTCCTGGTTCAAGGTGACGGGCAGGGCTGAGGGTAGGAGGAACTGCTAGTCACATCACATGTAAATTGTACTTCTAGAGATATATTAGAGACACAGTATTTCAACTACCTGCTTCCTTCTTTTTAAGCACATGTTAGGGTTGATATCCTAAAAAAGATTTTTTTAGACATGTGGACTTGAAATATTGTCAAGAGCTCAGACTAAACCTTGAAATGAAAACAACTCTGAATTTTATTTTACCTGTCAAACCTTGGGACCATCACCAGCTTTTTCAAGTAATTATAAACTCTTTTGCCCCATATAGCACAGTAGGTAATCACTGAACAAAATTAATCTTTTTGTTTATTGTTTTTAAAGTATTATTTTGCTCTGCATTTGTGGCAAATGTCTTTTAAGTGCTGACACTAAGAGAATTGTGATCAATTTATTCTGATAATAGAAAACACTTCATTAAGTATCTGTAAGATGCCAGACATATTCTAAGTCCTTCCAGGTGATATCTTTTATCTGAATTCAGTCTGAAGGATCTTTTCCATTCTGATCAGAGTTTCCAATCATAAAAGTTTAACTGAAAATAGTTCCTGGCTCAAGGTTCCAGACTAGCAGCCCCATCATGTAATTACTACAGAGATCATGGTTTAAAAAGGTTTACTGGGTCAGCAGGAACCTTAAATATCCCAACTGTGAGTTTTAAGATTTAATGTAGCATAGTATCCTTCAGTACAAACCTGATACTGGTAAAACAGAGAGCACAATGAATGCCTGGCTTTCTGGATGAATAAAACTAGCAATGAAGAAAAGGGAGAAAAGACAAAATGTAAAAAGGATTTTATGGGATTCTTTCTGAACTCTCATCCTCTTTGAAACAGATTTTTAAAAAAGAAATATCATGAGTACAATAAGAATTTGCTGGCCAGACCATTGTCTACAATCTCTAAAGTTGAGATGCATGTACATTTTTTAAACATTTAAAATGATGAAACTTCTTAACAGATTCAGTTATAAGTCAAAAGATTTAAATATACATTAACACAAGAGCAAAAAAAAATTAACTGACACCTACCCTTCTTCGACATTTAAAGAACCACTCCAACCAACAGCAAATTGCATTTCTTCCTTTCCTTTATCACTATATTTCCATTTTGCTGAAAAAATTAAGATGCCACATGTTACATATTATAGCATACTAAGACAGTTACTCATATATTTTGATCTTTCCCTTTAGAATGATGAGTAAAAAACGTATTAGTTCTGTATTAACTGATTTGTGTCTTTTTATAGGAAAACGTAATATAATATTATGAAAAATTTTAAAGAATTTTATGAAACCAGCTGGTCCCTAGTTTTTAGTCATTCCTTCATCCTATTAAACCCGTATAATGCAGAATAGAGCTATTAATTCCTATGAATCACACTATTTTATTTGTAAAATTACTGTTATCTTCAGATGGCTGAGAAAATTTTCTTATTAGATTTATTCTACTGAGTAGAAATTTGCTTTATAAGACCATTCCATATCTGTTCTATATATAACCTTATTTTGATTAATGAGATTTTTCATATCTTATATATACCTCCTAATTTGAATCTTGAACAAAAAAATTCATGAGCTAAAAACTTATGCACCAAACAAAAATGTATATAGTACTGTGAGTTTTCAAATTACAGTTGAAAATCACCCCACTCATATTGGTATTAAAAAAGGATCAGTGGCATTTTCACCACTGGCTGTCCCTTTGCAAAAAGTGGGCAATACCTAGTACTTCCTCTGAAGGGCCAGACAGACAGTTTAAGTATCTTGCAGCTAAGAGAGAAAAACAAGAATAAAAAGAAAAAAGAAAGGATAGAGAAAAGAAATAAAAGTGTTACACAGATTAGAGATGCCACCATACAATACATTCAACAGAAATAACATTTTTTCTTTTCACCTAATCCATTTTCTGTTCTATTCTATGAATGAAAATAATGAATGCACTTACGCACTAGAAACACGGCCTTTTGCTCCCGGGCTATAACCATAAGATCGTTGGTGGGAGATAAAGATAAAACACAATCTTGAAGCCAGGAAGTTTTTTGTGTTTTGCAAATATTTCCTTCTTCTTCCTTCAGTAAAAAAGAACCAATTACTAATTATACCTTTTTTTCCCTCTCTCTTTTAACTTAGGGCTGGCCTACGTGCGCCTCATTAGCTACACTAAAATTGTATGCAACTTTTTTTCCTCCCCAGTAGTTGAGGATGAAACCCAGGGCTTTGTATATGGTAGGCAAGCACTCTACCACTGAGATATACCCCCAACCCTACAATTATTATAAATACAAAAAAATGAGTATTTACACTTAGCTTGTCCTCCTTGTGAGGCAAAGAGTATTAAAAAAAAAAGGTGAAAAGAAAAATTCCCAATTCTTTTATAGAGTTTTATAATATTCCTTAACAAAATATGTCAAAATGACCAACAAAATACCCACTATAAATAAATCTGTTTGGGATATTAATGCAAAAGTTTTAAATATAAACAAGTAAGACATTAGAAGACTGTCACAAAGGGATCACTTTAGAAATGATTCAGTATTAGGAAATTTATTAAATAACCCTATTCATAGGTAGATAGCTATGCCACGAGCAGTTCAAGGGCAAAGAATAAATTACCCGATGATTGTTATGGCTTTAAGAGATGTAAAATTATTTGATAAAATCTGATATCTTACTTTTTATTTGATCTGAGGTGTTAACATATATCTTAGACTTCATTGCACATCAAGTTTTTTTTCTTTTAAAAAAGGCTGCATAGTATTCGAATCTACAGATACAACAAATGTATTTAACTAGCTCTCTACTGATAAATTATTAGAAATGAAATGTCTGGGTCAATAGTAATGTGCATTAATAAATTTGCTAGATATGCTGAAATTGTTCTCCACCTATGCTGTGTTAAATGTGAAAGTGCCTGCTTTTGCACATATTTTTCAAAAGATATTTTAACTCTGTATCTTTGTCAATCTAATACATAAAAAGTATATATTTAAATTGTATGAGTAAGAATAGGTATTTTCTCTTTTGTGTAAAATATTTTCTCATATGCATACGTAAAAAAGTATGCAAATGTCCCTTTCCTTTGTAGATTTCCTGTTGGGTTGCTGCTCTTTTTTGAACTGATTTATACATCCTCTATACATAAGGGAAAATTGGCCTTTTGAACATTAGAGCTTCCAAATAGTTTTTCCCAATGCTCTGTTTTTCCATGCAGAAATTTTTTATATTTGTATAACTAAATTATTTATCTCTTCCTACCTTACTCAACCTAATATATTATCTTACAGACTGAATTCAAGAGAGTAAGGCAGGGAAGGTATGAGGCTGCTTTCATTTTGAAAAAACATTACATTTTTATGCTTAAAAAATTCTTTTAATGATGCCACAATCATTGTTTATATCCCTAACCCTCAGCCAGCTCATAAATGTAAATTTTTAGTTATATAAAACCAGAAAATGAAATTTCATGTGGCTTGGTATTCTGGTTTCATCTACTGATGACAGGAGAATAAAGAGGCAAAAAACCCAAAATCTTCATTATTTTTCACTCCAACCCCACCCACCCACCCCCCTTTTTAAACCAGAGATTGTACTCAGGGATGCTCTACCACTGAGCAACATTTTCAGTGCCCCACTCCTTTTTAAAAATTTTTTGACACGGTGTTTTGCTAAGTTGCCCAAGATGGTCTCAAACTTGCAATCCTCCTACCATAGCCTCCTGAGTCACTGGAATTCCAGGCATACCCAAGTGTGCACTACTGTGCCTGGCTACATTTTCTATGTCTTCTCTACCATTTTGTCTTTCCTTACAACTATGGGACTAACAGCATATGCTTTTAATCTGCCACAGTAAAGTTGATGCATATAAGTGGGAATTTCATATTATAAAAAATAGGACACAAAAATATTACCATATTATATCATATCATCATTAGAGTTTGATATGCCATAAAATCTAGATATAAACCTTTAGTAGTGCTTCTCAGGAATGCTGCTAGCTTTTCACAAAATGCAAGGATTTTGTGCTTTTAATATAAGCTCTAAATCTCTTCTGATTCACAGCAACGTGGGGAGCAGCTAAACACCTATACAACGGCAACCTCCCAGTCATATGTAATTCTGAATTGTTCCTTGTGACTAAGGCACAGTATTTGATGTATCAGATCAAAAAATATAAAAAGCCTCTAATTACAAAAACCAAGCCCAAATGAAACTTTCAAAAATTATGGAGTGGTAAAAATGTGTTGTTTTCTCATAGACTTACCTATTTGCTACAATCAGAATAAAATCTGCTTTGTTATAACATAAATTTAAAATAGAAAACCGGCCAGGCATGGTGGCACATGCCTGTAATCCCAGCAACTTGGGAGGCTGAGGCAGAAGAATCGCAAGTTCAAAGCCAGCCTTAGCTATTTAAGGAAGCCCTAATAAGCAAATTAGTGAGGCCCTGTCACAAATAAAAGATAAAAAGGGCTGGGGATGTACCTCAGTGGTAAAGCACCCTGGATTCAATCTCTACTACCAAACCAATCAAAATAAAAATGAAATAAAACAGAAACAGGGAACCAGGCGAGGTAAAGGTGGAGAAGAAATTTTACGTAATTAAATTTCTTTCAATAAATCCTCGAAAAGAAGAAAGTCCTTGGTATATCAGGAGACAAACAATGAACATACGATATATAAAGGCAAACAAAGAATGAAAGGATTAAAAAATACATGTCTTAAATTGTTTTGCAATGTTACTTTGTACCCAAGCAAGTTGAGATGTAGAAAGCAAGCCACAGTGACATGAAATTTCTTCTTATGATAAAGAAATCCTTTGGCACCATCCTGAGCATAAGACAGTGTGTCCATTAACAAGTGTTCTGGCACTGATGTGTGTTTGGGTCTGTTCAACTACATCAAGAACACTGAGGCAGGGATGACACTGGTGACTTGGGTTATTTTCATAGGAACACTTGCCAAACACTTTCTATGTGCCAGACACTATGTTAACCCCTTTACATATATCTTAATTTTCAGAGTAACTATATAGAGTTCTATTACTACACCTATTCTGGGACAGGAAAACAGAATTATCATGACAGCTTCCCCCAGGTTACAGGGAGAGTAGGGAGGGATTTGATCTTGAAGGACATGGGGAGCCACTGAAGGAAGGCATTTTTAAGCAGTGAGGCTACCTGGTCAGATCTGTGCACACTGACTCACTCTCACTCCCCTTATCCCCACCCCCCAATTGTCTTGTTTTTAAAACTTTTAAAACATTAATAAGTAGCAATAATAATGACTGTATAACCTGCTTGATTTCAGTTACTTCCTCCCTCTTCTCTCTCACACACACTCTAGAGATGAAAGTTGCCCAAAATAATACTTGCCCTTAAAACTATGATGTACTCTAAATTCTTAAAATTAAATTTTATTATTTAAAAAGTACTGAAAAGCCATGTGTTTTAGTGAGCTTTTTTATTGCTGTGACCAAAACACCCAACAAGAACAATTTAGAGGAAGGAAAATTTACTTGAGATTCATTGTTTCATAAGTCTCAGTCCAGATAGCCAACTCAGTGCTCTGGGCCCAAGGTGAGGCAGCATATCACAGCAGAAAGGCTGAGTAAGGAAGCTGCTCAGCTCATGGCAGGGTCAGGAAGCAGAGAGGGAAAGAGAGGGAAAGGGCCACAGGGAAAACGCACACTGCCAGAGCACAACCCCCAGTAATTCACCTCCTCTAGCCATGACCCACCTACCTATAGAGACCACCCAGTCAGTCCACTCAAACTAGGTTGAATTGATAAAGTTACAGCTCTCATAATCTAACATTTCACCTATGAATATTCCTGCATTAACAGGAGCTCTGGGGGGGACATCTCATATCTAAACCTAACACCACCACAAACTGTTTTCTCCCCAAGTTAAGATAAGCAGTTTATAGTAAATTGTTCTAAGCCAGGATTTCTGAATTTCAGAATTTTTGACATTTTAGGCAAGATAATTCTTCAGTGTTGGGGACTATTCTATGTACTACAAGATGGTAAGTAATATCCTAGACTGCATCCAATAGATGCCAGTAGTACCACGGCATGACAAACAAAACTGCCCCAGACTTTTTCCCCTGGGGTGGGAGGCAAAATTGCCCCAGGCTGAGAACTACTGCTCTAGGCAATAGAAGATCAAAGCAAAGATGAGATGGATCTGAGAATCCTGAGAGCTGAACTGACAAGAGGAGCAAAGGCTCTTGGGGGCCTAGTTTAATGCACAGGGCAGGGACAATGAAATATAAACCAAAAATAAAGAATGTGGACCTGTGGAGCCAACTTAGATGCCCTTTAGTAGATGAGTGGATAAAGAAAATATTGGTATATATATATATATATATATATATATATATATATACACACACACATACACACAATGGAATATTATTCAGCATTAAAAGAATAAAATCATGGCATTTGCAGGTAAATGGATGGAGTTGGAGAAGATAATGCTAAGTGAACTTAGCCAATCCCAAAAAACCAAATACCAAATGTCTTCTCTGATTTAAGGATGCTGATTCATAATGTGGTTGAAAGGGAGGCATGGGAAGGTTAGATGAAATCTAGATAGGGCAAAGGGGAGGGAGAGTAAGAGAAGACGCATGTGGGTAGGAAAGATGGTGAAATGAGACGGACATCATTACCCTAGGTATATGTATGAAGACATGAATAATGTGACTCTACTTTGTGGACAGAGACATGAAAAATTGTGCTCTATATGTGTAATATGAATTGTAATGCATTCTACTGTCATATATAACAAATTAAAACTAAAAAAAAAAAAAGAAAAAAAGAATGTGGATCTGGGCTGGGGCTGTAGCTCAGTGGTAGATCACTTGCCTAGCATGTGTGAGGCACTGGGTTCAATTCTTAGCACCACATATAAATAAATAAAATAAAGTTCCATTGACAACTAGGAAAAAAAAAAAAGAATAAGAAATTCTTCAAAAAAAAAAAAAAAAAAAAAAGAATGTGGATCTGTCTGAAATAGTTCCTGTGTTAGATATTTCAAGAGAGCCTCAAGTCAAAGCAGGAAACTAG